TCAAAAACTGCCACGAGGACGGATCCCTGGTCGCCGAATTCGTATTTGTGCGCTTCCTCGAGCGCAAGTTCCCATGTGAGACCTGCATCATCGGAAACATATAGGTCGCCGTCGGTGTACTTGCCAAGAAACTCGCCCGTGTTTCCAACACCCATGACGATTCCTGGCGCTGGGCTCGAAAAAACGCGGCCGCTGTTGTGCAGATTGGTGACGGAATGCAGATGGAGTTCTTCGTTTTTACCCTTGACTGTCAGCTTTTCAAAGGTTCTGCCGTCATCAAAACTGATGCGCGACTTTAATTTCTTGGTTTGGCCCGACTTTTCAACCTCTTTGTAGTTGTCAACCGTATTCACAAGCACCACGCCCTGGATATTTGCAATTTTCTCAAAATCAACGTATCCGTTCTCGTTGCGGTTGGTGTGTTCAACGTTCTTGGTGAAGTATGTTCCGTTGGAGTTACTGGTGTACAAGTTGCCCATGGTCACATACTTGGATGTCATGACATCGACCTGTATGCTGTAGTTTGTGGACTCGAGAATCGTGTACGCATCTTCCTCAATCTTGTGGTCACCAAATTGGGCGTGGTGCCAGGAGTCGGTGTCCTGGGTTACGTAGAGGGCGAGTTCGCTCGAATGTTCGGCTTTGGCAGCGGCGACGATATAGCCCTTAGCCACGGCCATGTTGGCCATGCCCTGTACAGTCCGACCAGAGGACATTGTGGGCTCTTCCATATGCTCAAAAAAGCTGCGCTCTGTTAGCTCCTGCTCTCATATTTGGTTTGTCGCCACCTACTCGTCGGACACGAGAAGTCTAAAGTCCTTGGACCTGTCTGAGTATTTTCCTCTTGTGATGCACAGTATACGGTCATCATGCTTATCGACACCTTCGAGAAATCTCTCCGAGGATTTGGCCCATTGGCACATTCGGCGGTCCTTGATCAGGCCCTTGGGCTCCGTCTTGAAGCCATCGGTGGTATAGTATGTCTACAGTAGGTTAGCAATGCGACTCGTAGCAGCCTCAGAAGACACATACCCTTCCAAGACACGGCGCCGTGAAGCAGTTCTCAATCTCGTTGATGAGTATCTTCTTATTGTCCTGCGCGTGCCAGCCCACTGGGCCTGCCGGCGAAGGCGCAAGCTCCGTCTCAAAGCTTTTCCATGTTTCTCCTTGGTCATATGTAATCCAGTGCTTCTTCTCGCTCAGTACCAGTGCCACCTTGTTGTCGAATGGGTTCTTCATGATGCCTAGTCCCTGGATATCCTTTAATTGTTCCCAGCCCTTGCCGGCATCCTGCGAGCGGTATATCTTGCCTGTGTCGAGTTCTTGTACCAAGGCGACTCCAGAATCGTCAAAGTACATGAGGTTGACGAGCTCATTTTTGAAGGGCTTGGTGACGACCAGCGGGTCGTCCTTTGCGGTGGCGGGCGAGGGTGCTAGTGCCAGCAGGGCGGGCAGCAAAAGGCCCTTAATGTATTTCATGGTGCATAGAGGCGACGGCAAAACGCGTGTGTTGATGGGGGAGAGAAGGCGCGAATGTGGGAGAACAACTGGCGAGTCGACAATTCACAGCCTCAAGCACCGGCGCCAATGACGCTGACGGACCTGAAACACACGTCGATGCGCCGCGATGGCGGAGGCTCCCCGACCCAAGGAAGACACAAAGTCGAGAATTGAAACCCAAGAAGCGGCGTAGGGGGCGGCAGAGACAGTGTGCAACAATACAATGGCAAGATTAGCAATGCGATGGCAGATGGCGCCAACAGTGCAGTTGCAGTGCAGTGGTAGACTCAACTGGACAGATAGAGCTTGGGGGCCCAGTCGCGTATAGACGGACGTCCGCGGCTACTGTCCCGCATTGTGCATCCCTGCTAGGACCGTCGCCGGTTCCGCTCCCAACTCCAGTACTCGCCACCGACTCTGCTTCACATGTCTTGACAATCATTGGATATTGATGGCCAATACCTGCGACTAGCCTACAGACCCGTCAACTGTCAGCGTCTTGGCCACCACTCATGCGCTACCAGGAAGAACGCTGCAGAGCTGCAATTCGACAAAGGCCTCTGATATGAGTGAGGCTCGAATACCTAATTGACCGGCAGACAATAATAATATCTCCGGCACCGGTTTCGTCTCACACGTCTCAAGCTGACAAAAGAACCAAACCATGCCATCCCTCTACTTTGTCCATGGCAGCCCCAGCTTCTTCATCTCCACCGCGAGCTGCAAGATGTAATCGATACTCTCGCACTGCGTCTTGGCCTTGTGCACATTATCGCCCCAGACATAGATTCCATGTCTCCGCACCAGAATCGCATACGAATCCGGGTACTTTTCCATCGCTTCCTCCAAGCTCTCCCTCAAATCCTCTTCGTGCGCCGTGTTCTCGATAATCGGGATGCGCAGCCGGTCGTAGTAGCCCAGGTTCCCTTGCTTGCCTCGCCCCTTCGGTATGCCCTTTATTTGCTCAATCTCTTCAATTTCAAAGCATGCGTCCCTGCCGAAGTCGCGCTCGACGAGAAGAGTGACGAGTACTGCCCATTGTGAATGCGTGTGGATGCAGCATCCGGCGCCGCGCTCAAAGGCGGCCATGAATAGCGGGGTGCATGCTGAGGGTTTGAGGACCTTGAGTGTGGAAATCAGATATGCGTGCCAATCTCGCGTGAACGTATAGTCCGTACCTGTGGCTTCCTGAGGTACTCCTTGCTATTGAAGTCCATGACAAACATGTCGGTAGGCTTCATGAGTTCCTTTTGCACGCCGCTCGGCGCAATGTATATCTTGTCTTCATGGCGTATGCTCGTTCCTCCGCCAGTGCCTGTCACCTGGCGCAATTCTTATTGTTAGCAATGCAGTCAAAAATGCGTCTCTTCCATTGTTGGACCCCCAATGTCACGGGAGGAATCCTCATACCCAGCCCAGGTTGTAGAACTTTGCGCAGAGCGTGCAAATATGGTTTGCCGGGTGGCTTGGGTCATCAGAGTGCACGAGGGTCTCTGGATCCTGTACGTTGGAGCTCATTATGGCGTTTTGTGAAGAATGTGTTTCTCTTTCTTCGAGGCGCCAAAGTTTGGAGTTTTTCGTAAGGCCCAAATGACGCGTTGGGCGACCGCGAAGCTACCCCACGTGGTCCGGGCGGTTGGTCTTCACCCCACTATTCTACTAGTCAGGGCTGGCTGGTATAAGCTCCATAGCCGTTACAACATTGAGAACTTCCGAGTATATTCAAAGAGTGTGTTCGTTTATTCAATCTACATGTATTACTCAAGCAAAGGCAAGATCGGCTCGCCCAAGGAGACTACGACCTGAGGTATCATTGACGTCCAAAACGCTCACTACATTATTATATCCTCCACCAAGGTTGCGAAACCGGGTATACCGTAACTACTTAGCTGTCTCGTTTTGCGCCAGAGGAGAGTGCTCATGGTCCTTCTTCTTGTCGAGGTGAAGCGCATGCTTTAGCTTGTCGCCAAAGCCCTGGCGGTCTGGAGACTGAGAGTGGCCGCCGTGCTTCTCCTTGTAGACGTTGCCAGCGCCGCCTCGCTATATTCATGTCAGCTTTGCCTTCTCTGCATGCGCCATGAGGCCACATACTCCAGTGTGGAACTCTTCCTGTGGGTTGCGCTGGTTTATCTCAGGTACCAGGTCGACTGGGCGACCTTCGTCAGACTGCGGGCCAACACGAGGCGACTTGCCAATGTTTCCAGCTCCGCCGCGGCCAGTCGAGAATTCGCCTTCGACAGATTCGCCTTGGATGCCTTCGCGAACGAGGCCTCCGTCAGTATAGACAGTGTCGTCCTGGCCGATGTTGCCAGCGCCTACATGAACAATAGTCAACTTCTGCTTTTACAAGACATGTGTGCTTTCTAGGAATATATGACTAACCTCCACGTCCAGTGGAATGAATCGGTGTGCTAGTCATCTTTTCTTTCTTTGCTGCTTCGGGGGTATCTGAAATTCAAGACATATACGATCGAGATCGCAGAGAACTGGTGTTACGACTGAGAGAGTAAATCAGAATATGCCAACAACCCAGCGCAACGCGACTAGAAAGCCCTTATAGTCATTCCTTCAGTCGGGAGACAACCTCCAAGAGACTGCAATGACGCAATCTCATTTGCATCCATTGGCAGCGCGGGATGAAATAAGCTCCCGCAATGAAAAACCAGGCATCGGCGTGTCTACGGCTGCAAGTCATTCAACGAAGTTTGCTCGGCCAAGACAAGTTGCAACAATGAGGAACGGCGTCGCGTCTTCACACAGCCCTCTCATTGTACCGTGTACGTGGTTATGCGATGGCGTGAGGTGATCGCCTGATAAGCCAGAGTTAAGTGATTCGCTCTACAAGTGACTAAGCCGCCAACATCCCACTGTTTCCAAGCCTCAAGACGGGCAATCCTACGCGAACACGCACGGGTAAAGAAGCGTGGCTGATGTTGCAAGGTTTACTTGGAAGATCTGCTGGAGAAGTTTGCAAAGCACGAGGCCCACTGACGTGTGTCTGCCAATCCTGGTGGTTGTCGTCGATCCTGACGCAGGCACAACAATTTCGTCAACTATGCAGGAACGACGAAATAGTACCACATAACTAGCCATCATATCAAGGTACAACTCTGAGTACCACGGTACGACGATAAGCTCGTTTTCTAATCACAAATCCCCCTTACTTGTAGTGTCACGGAAACTAAACCCAGCCAACACAGCACGTGTTACATAGTGGCGTCACACATCGTTCCAAACACTCGACTCACTCTCTCCATACTTGTTTCAAACACATACCTTGACCGTCTTGAGATTTGAATGGAGTGAAAATGCGCCATCCTTCACGTCCCAACGCCTTGCTGTGGCATAGAGCTTGTTTAGAAACCAGAGGGTGATGTGATTATCATTACCTACGCGATACGACGGTCTAAGACCCTAATAAAACTAATAGGAAACGGGACATAAATGGGTATCGTAACATTTCAGAGTTCGGAACAAAGGACCCCTTCGCTTGCATTTTCTCAAGTCGTAAGGCTTTGGTCTTCGCTGTACCTAGCGCGACCGTCTTCTGCAGACTGAGCTTGCGCTTTGCTCTGGTCTGCGTGCTTGGCGGGATCGAAGACGTACATTGGGAACTCCAGGAACAGGGTTCGCTTCAGGAATACCGGCATCCTCGCGTATAGTGCCGGTGGGAAGGGGATGAGGATGCTGGTTCGTTGGAGGTACCTTTCGTACTCAGGCCAATGGCTGCCCTTCTCGTACCGCTTCTTTGCTGCTGGGCGTTCCTGCAGCGTAAGACCTGACACGAACATGAGAAGCAGGGTCAAGAAGAAAGGTCCGAGGATCGACGCGTAGAGAGCATCGTAGGCACCTCCTGAGACGTAGTTGTACGCTGCTGGCGATACGGCAATGGTGAAGATACCTGGGAACTGTCAGCTTCCGCCAAGAGCATATGCACCGCAAGGACCCACCAAACTGAATAATGATCTCTCCGAAGTAGTTGGGATGCCTGGTCCACGCAAAGAATCCCACATCGCAGACCGCACCGTCGCTCCCATGTGCAGTGCGGAATCGATACTTTTGAATGTCGGAAACGCTCTCCATGATGAATCCGATTCCCCAAAGGATAACACCTGCAATATCACATCCCGTCCCGAACTCGGGCTGGCTGAACTTGGTAACATTTGGCGAGTTGAGTAGCGTCACGGGCAATGAAACGGTCCAGACCCAAAACATTTGACTGCGCTTTCGTCAGAAACAAGACTTCCAGAACAGGGCTATTCGCATCCACTCACAAAACCCAGAACCCAAGGAACGACCAAAACTTATCCCGCTTATCATCGAACCTGTCATCTTTGCCTGTTTTGAGGATACGAAAAAGTAAGAATCCACTTAGTCGTGCCGCCCATAGCATAATGAAGAGCGAGACTACGATGTTGCGTGGCTCATCCCTATTTTCGCTGAAAGAAAGTGTGAGGATAGCGAGAAGGATGAAATTTGTGCCGCCGGCGAAATCAGTGAGTTTGTCGAATTTCAGCGAAAACGCTATCGCGAAGAAGAAGAGTTGGTAGGCAACTGTAACCAAAAAGGTTATCGCAAGGTAGTAGTTATCGAGCACGTGTACGGCCGCCATGATGTCGGTTGGTGGAATACTATTGCTCTGTATGTTCCTTGAAGGAAACTGAAGAAGAAAAGAGCACACGCCTCTACATATAACACACACGTCGATCTAGTCGCGCTCTCGCGCCTTACGGAGCCCGGACGGTGTGCTCAAGGCAAAATCTCGCCGCTTCTGGCATTTGTTGCGCTCAGAGAAATGTTAGCCCGGTCGGGTCGATGATGCACGTCATCGGGCAAGCCAAGCCACGATACGTAGTGACGACTCTGGCCCGCGATCAGCCGCTTGGTTGCGCATCCCTCCACACCTCATGTGTCCATCCACCCAGCAAAATGCACGCCTCGAATCCAGAGCAGCCACGCTGTGTACTCGAGGGCCTAGACATAAACTCGGAAGATCCAACGCCAAACCCGCATGACCCGCGCTGAATAATCCATCCGCACTCGACGGGATACTGAAACTCCGCTCGTGTGAGCTACCCATGTCGCATCTCACGCACAAACCGCATCAGATAGTCTCTCCAGCGGCTAGCCCAGACAGGCTTCTATCATGAAGCTTCCCACATCCATCACCCGTTTCTCTGCTGAACCGCCCAGAGTTCCTGCATCAAGCCTTTTGATTACAAGGATTGGTCCTGCATAACTAATGCTTTCCACTGGGGTCGCTTTTACCCCCGTCCCCCCGTCTCCAGTCCCCCCCAGGGCGCCCACCTAGCTCTTGAGACACGATGGTTCAAGTTGACCGGTACACGCAACTGCCAAACGCGCGAAACCGTCCGCCCCTCCTCGGGCCTTGCTGGGTTGGTGCAGGAAACAAATGAATAAGTGGGTAGGGCGCCTGGTTGGGACTGTAAAAGTAACACGATTTGGGGGTTGGTGACTGCATTCTTTCCGGAAGCGCTGGACGTTGCTCGTCTCTTCACTTTTCTTCTCTCTTACACAGGAAAGGCTTATGCTCTGTGACGATACCCGCTTCTAACTGCCGCCATTGTTTCTGTTTGCGCGGCTCCTCTTCTCGCTTCTCTTCGCTCGACCTTCCCCCCCTTTTGTTCTTCCACCTCGTTTTCTCTTCGACGACTTCCTTCGAAATCTGCTGTGCAGGTCTCCTTGGATCAGGAAAACAAGGTTTATTCTGCATGTCTGGGACATTTACTTCTTTCGATTCTTTCTTCTTTCCAGCAGGACTGTTGATGTTTTAATTAATGATTGCATTTATTGTTACGCCCTATCTGGATTTTTGCTTTTTTCTTCTAACGACGTCGTGCGTATACTAAATTACCATCATGAAGACAACATCGTCACTGGCTTCGGCCTTGCTGCTAATTAGCGCAGTATGTATAACCCGTTGATCCCACAGTCTACTGATGCTAAGTATACAAAAGTCTCTTGCTTACGCAAAACTTGACATCCACAACACTCACATACAGACGAATATTGCTGGAAAGCGCATCGATGACCTAGTCTCTGGAGTTGATCGATCTGGAAACAATCTTTTCGACAAACGCGACGTCCCTGCTATTGAACAGGCAAATCCTCTGGAGAGCGCACACCTCGCCGCTAGGTCTGCACAGAGTGGTCTGGACGCAGGTGCTTTATTGAATAGCATTGCACCGAGTCAGAGTGTTGGTAACGGAGACATTGCCACTAACGATGTTGGTGGAGATGTTGCCAATCAGATTGCGGCTGGAAGCACGAATAGCATTGGGAACACTGGCAGTGGGTTAGGTGGACAGACGCAGGGTGGATCGGCGAATGATACTGCGGTGCAGGCACAGAGTCAGACCCCTGCGCAGGGAACTCCTCAGGGAATTACTCCTGGAGCTGCCCAAGGTATTGCGCAGGGAGCTCCCCAAGGAAGCACTCAAGGAACTCAGGGAACACCTCAAGGAACTCCCCAAGGAGCAACCCCAGGAACTGCACCAATCAATTCTCCAGGTCAAGGAAGTGACATCATCTCGAACGACGTCGGAGCTGCCCTTGCGAGCCAACTGACACCAGGCGGTGATTCGACCGACGTCACCGTTCAGGATGTCGGTGGAGCCATTGCGAATTCAATCGCACTTGGCGGACAGAGTCAGCCAACACCACTACCACAGGGCCAGCAACCACCACAGGGTCAACAGCCGCCGCAAGGCCAAGCACCGCAACAGAGCCCTCCGCCACCGCCATCAGGCCAGGCACCTCAGGCTATGGTACCCCAACCTATGGCGCCCGTAGCAGGCCAGGCCGCACCAGGAGCAGCTCCAATGGCGGCTCCAATGGCTGCCCCGATGGCGTCTCCAGCAGCGGCTCCAGCGACACCTCTTGAAATGGGTTCAGCGCCTCAGGCCATGGCACCCGCAGCAGCTATGGAGGTATCACCAGCAGCATCACCTGCAGCGGCTCTGAACGCGTCTTCGGTAGCATCACCTACACCCTCTCCGGAAATGTCTCTGGCGCCATCTCCAGAGGCATCTCCAGCAGCAGCTCTAGAAGCATCTCCATCATCATCATCATCTGAGGCGGTAGCAATGGCATCTCCTGAAGCACCTGCAAAGGCGGCTTCAGAAACGGCTGCCATGTCCTCAGCCATGTCTTCAGGAGGATCTCCCTCTTCCAAGCCTGTCATAACTGTGACACCCCCAGGAAAGTCATCTCTGCCAGCAGTGACACCTATCCCCTGGACCAACTCACCTTCGAAAATTGGAGGAATGAAAAGCAGTGCAAGCGCAGAAGGAGCCGCCACACCAGCAGCGATATCCGCTAAAAGCACTAGCACAATGGTATGTCACAACAGTGCACTCCTTAGTATCCAGTGATTGATTACTAACAATAATGGTAGATGGCTGGCGCAGAAATGGCTGCGTCCGGCTCCATGGCCAGCAACGGAACCGCTGCAGCTGTAACAGTAATTGCCGAGGGTGGCTCGCCAGCTGCCGCAGAAGCGGTTTCCAGTTCCATGTCCACTAGCATGGCATCGATCAACACGGCAACCCTGACCCCGGTTGGTCTTGCTGCAGCAACCACCACGACAATGGTAGGCAGCCCTGTTGGAGTCATCGCCCAAGGTAATGCCACCGCTAGCTCCAGCGGTGCCTCGATGACTATGGCATCTGGGGGTTCCGGGGCAAGCAGCCCTATGATGAGCATGGCGTCTGGCAGTAGCGCTGCACCGCCGGCGGCCGCGGTTACAGTTGTTGCAGGGTCAGGAAACTCGTCCGCGCCAGCGGGTATGATGAGTGGCGGGGCCTCTGGATCGTCCATGTCTTCCATGAGTGGAGCTTCGGCTACAGCTGATGCTGCTTCAGGAGGTGCAGCTGGCCCAGTCACTGTTATCGCAGGCAACGGAACATCACCGACTGCCGCTGCTGAAGCTGCCAGTGGATCAACCTCCATGGCTTCTAGTATGAGCTCGGGATCTATGGGCTCGAGTGGTGGTTCCTCCAACGGAACGTCAGTTGGACCCGTCACCGTTATAGCAGGCGGCGGCGAGGCAGCTGCAGCCGCTGCGACGCGAGCAGCGGAGAACGGAGGCTGCAATTGTGCTTGTCTGTGTCCTGCGGGCTCCTTCTCCATGGCACCGCCACCAGCGCCAGCGTTCCAATTGGGCTCTTCAAGCACGATGCAGACAATGGTAGCCAGCCCCGTCACTGTCGAGGCAGGAAGCAGTACAGCAGGTGCAAGTTCGGGCTCCAGCTCCAGCTCCAGCTCCAGTTCGGCCTCGAGCGCATCAAGCATGGCATCCATGTCCAGTGTATCCTCCGCTTCCTCCTCCTCCGTATCCTCATCACCAATGTCCACAACTTCCTCCTCCGCAGCAACCTCAACCTCGGCCGCTGAAGCAGCTAGCTCGAGTTCTGCAGCTACACCCGCAGCCACCACTTCTTCATCCTCTTCATCATCATCATTATCATCATCATCAGCAACGACTAGCATCTCCGCTCAAAGCCAAATCGCAGCCAATGCACCGCCCGTTCCTACGCCTATTGGCGGTACGGAAACGCCCCCTGGCGGTCTCCCATTCAACATCAACACTGTTGATTTGCAGAGCCGTGTTACGGTGAATTTGGGCAAGAGGCTGGCCAAGCCGACGGAGGCGGCGAGGGCATGGTGGTCGTGAAGTTGAGTAGGTGGCGGGGATTTTAGTTTAGTACGAAAGGGATCAAAGTTGGTATTGTTTGGGACATATTTTTATTCCTTTCTTTTTTTTAGGGTTGTTGTTATTGCACTTTCCTCCCCGCCCCAAAGTGTATGTTGGGGGGTTCTCTGGTTCTTATGGTACATATATACATATAATATTGGTTTAGCAGGGCACTGGGTGCGAGAGAGGACCTGCTTTGCTGTGACACAAGTTGGGGTTTAATTTATGAAAAAAGGATGAAATATAATTGTACATGGAGAATGACTGCTGTCTATCTGGGTATCTTGTTTGCTTGTTTTTTTCGCCGGAAAGTAAAAGCACTTTTTGGTGATTATGCGGGCTGCTACTGTTGCTGGTCCTGGCCTGCTTCTTGAACTTTTGCCTTTTTGTTCTTTGCTTGCTGGCGCTTGGAAATGGGCTTTTCGGCTTTTGTCTCGTGCGTGGGGGTCGAGTCCAACGTCTCGCCTGGCCGCTTGCCGTTTTGGTTTTTATTTGCTTTTCCCTTTTGTGATGCCTTATCTTTAGTCTCCTGCACTGGCTTCTCGCCCCCGTGGACGATATCGACTATGCCCTTGAAGCTCTGTCGCTTCAGGCGAGCAAACTCGACGACGCTTCGTGGCTCTTTGGTGAGGCCGTCTTTGCCCTTTTCTGTGCCGAGACCCCATACTGAAGCGAGGTTGATGACGTCGCTGGGGGCTCGTATGCCCAGGGCGTTGTTCGCTTCGGAGCTGAATATCAGACCGCGGCCTCTGGTGACGCGAATGAGCTGGACGGCGTTGCTGATAACGTTGCGCTTTGCGGCAGGATCATTTGATAGGATGCCTTGGCTATAGCAAATCTCAATCTTGATGCCTCGTGCTATGGCGGTGCCAAGCATAGGAAACTTGAAGTGTGTTTCGAAGCGAGTGGTGAGGTCGAGCGAGATGATATCCACGTCGAGGCTCTGGCATGCCTGCTGCAGGGTGCGCTCGTCGGTGGGCCGGGCAGCAACCAGGTCATAATGCTGCTGCAGCTGGGGGATGCGGAAATTGGAGGCCGAGTCGGTGAGGAAGATGTTACAGCGGCGCAGAATGCGTATCCGGGCGGGGACGGGGAAAGGCAGGCTGGCAGGTATGGGGGGAGTCTGGTGGTGAATAGGCATTGATCAGCGTGGCGTCGCAGGCGCAGGCCCAAGTGAAACTGAAAAAGTGGAAGCCACAACTGGACCAGCAACGTGGGCACCTACTATATCAGCGGGGAGCTTCCCAGTATATGTGTGCGTGAGAGCAACGACATCGTATCCTACTGCATTGCATCAGCCCGGCGTTCGCTGCATTGCATCACTACGGACGCCCAAGGGTTGCCCGGTAGCTCACATTCGTCGAGAAAAGCGATTGTCCGCTGCAGTCCCGGTGTCGCGCCAGGCCAGGGCACGTGCAGATCGTGGAACATTTTCCGCAATGGCGTCGGCGGGCACAGAACGAGTGGTGGAAGTGGGAGAGAGCGTGGGAGAGGGCGCGGTAAGGCTGCGGAAGAGCAAAATAGGTAAGTCGACCAAGGCGGCGGAAAGCCACGATCGTCACCGGGCTGGCTGGGCCTTTCGGGGCGGGCGGTTCGCATCCAAAAAAACCCCTTAACATTTGGTGCCGAAGAGGCTTAGCCCTGGATATGCTTTGCTGAACGGAACTCAACTGGACTGAAGTTGGACTGGTCTAACGCACACACACCAGCCACCCTCGGCCAGGACTGCGACCGCCGCCTCCCCCATCACCACCACCAGCAGCTCCTCGACGTCGACACGGCACCGAGCGAGCCCTCCCTAGCCACACCGCCGCCACACGCCCGGTCGCCCCAGCCACAGCAAGAGCGCCGTGCCCATCGTCACCGCCTCTTTGGGCTGCTTTCTTGGACAAAGACACAGGGCGCCCTCGCTGTGCTTGCTGTTGTTGCTGCTGCTGCTGCCGCCGGCCTCGCCCTGGTCCTCTGCCTGCCGCCACTGTGTGGTCCCGCCAGCCTCCGCCCTCTGCCCCCACTCCCACCACCAACTCCAACTCCAGCACAAACACCACCACCTCCGTCACCACCACCACGCGACCCCCCGCCCCCGCCTGCCCACCACCGCTCCTTCGCTGCCACCATGGCGCTCAACAACTCGAGCGGCGCCACGAGCATCGCCCGCGTCTATGCCGATGTCAACGCAAACATGCCCCGCTCCTACTGGGACTACGACTCGGTCAACATCTCGTGGGGCGTGCTGGAAAACTACGAGGTCGTCCGCAAGATTGGCCGCGGAAAGTACTCCGAGGTTTTTGAGGGCATCAACGTCGTCAACTACCAGAAATGCGTCATCAAGGTCCTCAAGCCCGTCAAGAAGAAGAAGATCAAGCGTGAAATCAAGATTCTGCAAAATCTGTCGGGCGGCCCCAACATTGTCTCGCTGCTCGACGTGGTGCGCGACAACCAGGTGAGTTGCCGATTTTGCCTTGGGCTTGGCGCCTGGGTGCCGCTGCTGCTGCTGGCTGCTGTTGCTGCTAACACGCAACGCATAGAGCAAAACCCCTTCGCTCATATTCGAATATGTCAACAACACCGACTTCCGCAGTCTGTACCCCAAGTTCCAGGACTTTGATGTGCGCTTCTACATCTTCGAGCTGCTCAAGGCCCTCGACTTCTGCCACAGCAAGGGCATCATGCACCGCGATGTCAAGCCTCACAACGTTATGATTGACCACGAGAAGCGAAAGGTGCGCATTGTAAACTGGCGCACGCGCACCGCTGCTAACCCGAGCCTAGTTGCGCCTGATTGATTGGGGTCTGGCCGAGTTCTACCATGCAGGAACAGAGTACAACGTCCGCGTTGCGTCGCGTTACTTCAAGGGTCCCGAGCTGCTAGTCGACTTCCAGGAGTACGACTATTCGCTTGACATGTGGTCGCTGGGCGCCATGTTTGCCTCTATGATCTTCAGGCGAGAACCCTTTTTCCATGGCAACAGCAACTCGGACCAACTGGTCAAGATTGCAAAGGTCCTTGGCACTGAGGACCTCTTCGACTACCTCGACAAGTACGACATTGAGCTGGATGCTCAGTACGACGACATACTCAGTCGATATCCCAAGAAGCCCTGGCACTCGTTTATCAATGCCGAGAACCAGCGCTTTGTCAGCAACGACGCCATTGACTTCCTTGACAAGTTGCTACGATATGACCACCAGGTAAGCCCAGTCAGCACTTGCGCCTCACAGCGCTTCCCTTGCTAACCCATGCAATAGGAACGACTTACTGCCCAAGAGGCCATGTCGCATCCTTACTTTGCTCCTGTCCGACAAGCTGCGCAGCAGAACAGCACCGCAGCATGATTGAGATACCCAATTCACGTGATTAAATGTTATGTAATGGCATAAAAGTACAGGCGCCCAACCCTTTACTCAAATCAGAGCATTCTACTTGCAGCCACGCTCTGGGCGTGGCAGACTATCTGGCGTGCCGGCGTGCACACGGGGCATGAACAACGGAGTGATATATATGCAGGGCAAAAGACGGGGGGTACTGTTCTTGGATAGGTCATGAGAGAACGGCAACGGCCCAGCGCAGACGTATTTTTGCGACCAACGCCCTAGGGCTGACGGTCAGAATAATGCATAGCCAAGGTGTTAGTGGGCTTGTACAAATGTCCAATGGAGTGAGTCTTCTTTCTCAAATGTTATCAACGAATATGGTATTATGATGTGGACTTCAACCGGTGATTGCTTCGAACAACTTGACAATGTCAATTATATTAGGGCCATGGTTATTTTCATGAGTAGTCCATCAACGACTGAAACGTTCCCTGAGGGTTCACCCAGACGCGTAGGCGGGGTCAGATCGGACGCTCGGACTCAATGTGGGGGTGACGCATGCCGGACTTTGAAGACTCACACCCAGTCACTATTTTGTTAATGTTGCCCCGCCCCGCGCCCACTACACTGCGCGCTGCTTGCAGACAATCCCTCACACATACCAATCCCCTCAGGCATAGACTACAGTTGCCATTGCGAATCTACACTGCCCTCAACCCTCACTTTTCGGCTCACGCTGGGCGCGTGCTCATACTGCACCACCACTACTCGACTCCAACCATGGCGCTCAATGCGTCCTCTCACAACACCACTGGTGACAAGACAGCGCCCAACACCGCTCCACCGCCAGAGCTGAGCGGAGAAGCCAAAAAGGACATTCTCGGTGCCGCTGAAACTGAAGCCACCGGTCAACATGCGCCCGGTCGCGAGAATGAAAAGGGTGTAGAGAAGAAGGAGAAGACTGCCAAGGAGCTGGAGAAAGAGAGGAAAAAGGCCGAAAAGGACGCAAAGTTCAAGGCCAAAAAGGCCGCTGCTGCTGGCGCCGCCAAGGACGCTCCGGCAAAAGAGAAGAAAAAGAAGGGCAAGGAGGAGGAGCAGTTGCCCGAGTACGTCGAGCAGACACCCAAGGGCGAGAAGAAGCGTCTTCAGAGCTTGGACGGTCCATACACAAAGGCATATATTCCCAAGGTTGTCGAGTCTGCGTGGGACGCTTGGTGGGACGCTCAAGGTTTCTTCAAGCCTCAGTTCGCCGAGGATGGCAATGTCAAGGCCCCTGGCCACTTCGTCATTCCCATCCCACCACCCAACGTCACGGGCAAGCTACACTGTGGACATGCGCTCGCTACGAGTCTGCAAGATGTCTTGATAAGGTGGCACAGGATGAGAGGCTACACTACGCTGTATCTTCCTGGTTGCGATCACGCCGGTATTGCTACTCAGTCCGTTGTTGAGAAGATGTTGAAGCGAAGGGAGAACAAGACGCGATATGACCTGGGTCGTCAAAAGTTTCTTGAGAGGACCATGGAGTGGAAGCAAGAGTACCACCAGCATCTTACCAACACCCTGCGCCGAATGGGTGGTTCCTTTGACTGGACGCGCGAGGCCTTCACCATGGATGAAAATCTGTCAAAAGCAGTCACAGAGACGTTTGTCCGCCTCCACGAAGACGGTCTGATTTACCGAAGCAACAGGTTGGTCAACTGGTGTACAGCCTTGAACACGGCTTTGAGTACTCTTGAAGTCGATAACAAGGATCTGGCTGGCCCGACTAAGTTGTCTGTTCCGGGATACGAGAGGATGGTTGAGTTCGGTGTCCTTACTCACTTCAAGGTATGTCGAACAGAGTCCAGCCTCACAACTGTGCTAATAACTTCTGCAGTACGCCATCGATGGTACTGACCAATTCATCGAAATTGCTACCACACGTCCTGAAACCATGCTTGGTGACTCTGGTATCGCCGTCCATCCCAAGGATGACCGCTACAAGCACCTCGTCGGAAAGAAGGCCAAGCACCCCTTCATCGACCGTCTCATGCCCATTGTTGCAGACGAATACGTCGACCCTGAGTTCGGTACTGGAGCTGTCAAGCTGACGCCAGCACACGACCCCAACGATTTCAACCTTGGAAAGAAGCACAACCTTGAGTTCATCAACATTCTGGTACGTCTTCTCCCAAAGAAAAATAAACAAAACACTAACACCTTCAGAACGACAACGGAACAATGAACAAGAATGCCGGTCGTTTCGAGGGCGAGAAGCGCTTCGATGTTCGTTACACCGTTGTAGACGCACTAAAGAAGGAGGGACTGTTCGTCAAGACCGAGCCAAACCCAATGAAGGTGCCCATTTGCTCAAGATCTGGCGATGTCATTGAACCCATTATGAAGCCGCAATGGTGGATGAAGATGGAAAGTCTAGCCAAGCCTGCCATCGAAGCCGTCGAGAAGGGTGACATCAAGATTCGGCCAGCCACTTCCGAGAAGATCTACATGCACTGGATGAACAACGTTCAGGACTGGTGCTTGTCTCGTCAGCTTTGGTGGGGCCACCAAATACCAGCCTATTTCGTCCAAATCGAAGGCGCCGAAGGTGACCGCAACGAAGATGAGCTCTGGATTACTGGCCGTACAGAGGAAGAGGCAAGAGCTAAGGCCGAGAAGAAGTTCCCTGGAAAGAAGTTCACATTATCGCGAGACGAGGACGTGCTAGACACATGGTTCTCCTCTGGCCTATGGCCGTTCTCTACTCTGGGTTGGCCAAACCAGACTGCTGACCTTGAGAAGCTCTTCCCCACCTCTGTCCTTGAGACCGGTTGGGATATTCTCTTCTTCTGGGTTGCTAGGATGATTTTCCTTTCCCTCTACTTGACTGGAAAGGTTCCGTTCAAGGAGGTTTACTGCCACTCCCTTATCCGTGACTCTGAAGGCAGGAAAATGTCAAAGTCGCTTGGTAACGTTGTGGACCCTGTCGATATCATGGATGGTATCACCCTTCAGAAGCTCCATGACCAGCTTCGCGCAGGTAACCTGGATCCCAAGGAGTTGACCAAGGCCGAGAAGTACCAGAAGACCGCCTTCCCTCAAGGTATCCCAGAGTGTGGTGCTGATGCGCTCCGTATGGCACTTGTCGGATACACTACTGGTGGTGGAGTAAGTCTGTCGTATTACTGTTCATTGAATGTGACGCTAACGTCTTTCTAGGACATCTCGTTCGACGTCAATGTCATTCACGGATACAGGAGATTCTGTAATAAGATCTACCAGGCCACCAAGTATGTCATTGGACGCTTGGGAGAATCTTTCACACCGCAGGAGAAGGCCGGAAAGAGCGGAAAAGAGTCTCTGCCTGAGCGCTACATCCTCCACAATCTCAACGCCGCTGCCAAGAAGATCAACGATCACCTGGAGGCGCGCGAGTTCAGTCTTGCCACCCAGGTTGCCTACAAGTACTTCTACGTCTACCTCTGCGATACATATATCGAGAACAGCAAGGCCATATTCGACGAGGGAAGCGAAGAGCAGAAGGAAAGTGCCAAGCAGACGCTTTACACTGCCATTGAGGGTGGTCTTAACATGATTCACCCGTTCATGCCCTTCCTCACCGAGGAGCTCTGGCAGCGCCTGCCCCGAAGGCAAGGTGACAAGACACCTTCCATCTGCATTGCGCCTTTCCCACAATACTCGCAAGAGTTGGAAGACGAGACGGCAAACGCCGAATACGAGCTTCTCGTTGACAGCGCAAAGGGCCTTCGTTCTATGACCGCAGAGTACGGCATCAAGGATAGCGCATCCACATATATCCAAGCCCTCGACGATAGCACACACTCCATTCTCTCTTCCTCCACATCTCTCCCTTCAATCAAATCTCTGGCAGGCAAAACCGTATCCGAGATCAAGATCCTGTCACCCTCTGAGACCGCGCCCTCTGGCTGCGCCGTATACACAATCGGCACATCAGCGACCGCGTACCTCGACGTCAAGGGCCGCATTGAGCTCGACAAGGAAATCACAAAGGCCCAGGATCGCCTCACAAAAGCCAACGAGACAATCACGCGCCAGAAGAAGATTATGGATAACGACTGGGAGGAGAAGGTTAGTGATGTGGTCAAGGAGCAAGAGAGGGAGAAGCTTAAAGCTGCCGAGTTGGAGGCCAAGAACTGGGAGGCGAGTATTGCACAGTTTGAGAAGATGAAGATTGAGTAGGTGTGGATATGTGTGTATGTGAGAGATAGAGGGATATGCATGATGAGAAAGCACAAGTGCAACCAATGAAGATTTCAGTTGTTTCGTAGTAGGACATGTGGATCAAAAAAGATGAAGAAATGGGAAATGAAAAAGGGAAGATGGCGTTCAATCTCGTTTGATCTAAAATTTCATCTCTTCTGCCTTGCAATCATATTTGTTGTACATATGTAAAACCTTTTTCATCATCTACGGAAAAAAAACACGCATGTTTCCCCCCCCCCTTCCCTTTGTTCCGGCCTTGGAACCCCCCCCCCCCTCTCTCTTGGGTTACTTCATCTGCCCCTTACCCTTATCCTCCTCCTTCCAATAGCAAGAACGGTTTGGTAATCTGGAGTGTTGTGGGTGGGTGGGGGGAATAAGTATACAGCCGGTGAATTGAGAACACCGTAAAAGAAAGGGGTAGGAGGGTGGGGGTGATGATAGGCATAATCCCATGCAAAAACGTGAGGGGAAAACAAAAGTGATAGGTAGTAAGTAGTAGTGGTAGTAGAGCAACATGTTTCACGACGCAGCCCCAACTTCCACCTTACCCGCAGCATTGTCCACACCGCTCTCAGTTTTAACTACCAACTGCGTTGTGTTGTTGCCCGCCATCTCGCTACCCAGAACCTCTGGCCTCCATCTAAGTAGCAACTTGCGTGCACTGGGTTTTGCTCGCTCGTTCTCCGCCCACATCTCCGCGAGGACATCAACGACGATCTTGCGGACAGGAGGACGAAACATGTACAGGTAGTGTAGAGCGTTGCAAGCGAGATCGATGCGCTCGGGGTCCTCTGCCATTTTCTTGAGGCGAACAAGGAGCGTGTAGTCTATTGAAGGGATTTCGGAGAGAAAACGCAGGAGGATTTTATCCGTGTGCTCGATGTAAGGGAGGATACCGTCGATGAGGCGGAGGGCACAGCGGTGGTAGTTGCCTCTTGGGGGTTTAGAAGGGGAAATGCCGTTTACTGTGCCGTTGGGTAAGGGGGTCTCGGCGGATTGAGCGAGGATCATGTCGTTGTACCATTCTTCGTTGAGCCAGGAGATTGCGACGTCGATACGGCGTTTCCAGTCGTAGAGGATGTACTGGTACAGGGAGTCGCGGATGGAGTCGCTGATTCGGGGGTTGCTGCTGCGGGTGCTTTTGACCGCGTACTCGTCTTTGATACCATCGGTGGGGTCGTCGAGACCGGCGCTTGCGCGTGTGGCGAGGCGGGAGAGGATGGTGACCCAGGCGTCGCGGCTGTAGTCTGTTGCTGCTAGACGGTTAAAACCACCTTTTGTGGCCTTGCTCTTTTGTGTCTCATCTACACTACTCAGCATGCCGAAGGCGCGTTGTACGGTCATGTCACCGTACTTCTGGACATCCTGATCGGATAATGGAGGTGCTTCGGGCAGCTTGAAGGGTGCTAGAGCAGTGGATGGGCCTTGTTGGGTTGGGAAGGGATTCGACGGGATACCGTCAAGCTTGTTCATGATTTGCTCCGCATCTTCAGGTTCAAAGTCGGGCTCATATTCCTCCTCATCTTCTGCGGCGGGAGCGCTTGGTGGCTGAACAGGTTGACTCGCAGCGTTCTGCCGCAGTGTTTGATACCGAGCACGGACAGCCTAGATGTCTGTTAGCACAAACACACTTTAACTGATAATATGTTCAAACAAAAAGCACTACATACACTGATTGCTTGTTCAAGCTTTTGCGGGTTAACCGACTGCAGGACTGGCACCACAATCCTGACCAACTGCTCAGGATCCTTGAAATTTTGCACATCAAAATTTGCAGTACTGCCCTCAGAATTGAGCGTGTATAATTGTCGCCAGCTGATTGGACCAGGCGGTAGAGGCTGAACAGAGGGTGTACGACTGGGAGGCTCAGCCACAAGTCGCTGTCTCTTGGCGTGATCAAGGCCATCGGTCGGTTCAGCGGGTGCTGGCCGTTTACGGTTGGATTCCTCAAAAAACTCCACACGGGCACGATGCATGCGTTCCAGAAACTGTTGTATGCGCCCATTGATTGGGTTCTCGGGGTTCCTGTAATGGTAAGTACTTGAGATGGCGTGACACGCTGAGGTTGACATACCTCTTCATGATGTTGACGAGTAGTGCCCTTGTTGTACGCTCAATTGACTTAATAATGACCTTGTTCTTAGGCGTCATTGGCGAATTGGCAAGCTTCAAGGGGTTGAAGTTGAAGACACTGTTCAAGATTTTATTTGCAGCATTTGGTCGGCGATGGATCAGCATGCCCAAGCTGTTCAAGGTGGCAGTCACGAGCAATCCGTCACTGGTCTGTGTTAGATGCATGTCGGCAGTCTGTGACTGTCTATCTAACCTGTGATCCCCATGTATGATATCCAACAGCCTGTCCAGTAGTCCATGTCCTTCAGCCTCGAGGCTCGCATACGGTATAAGCGGATGATCGCGGGGCACAATGGAGAGGGAAATGTCGTTGTGATCGGCGCGCTGCGAGACATGAGATTTTGTGTTTCTACGTCGGGGGGTGGAGGAGTATCTACCCTAGGGTCTGCCACACCTGGTGTCTGTACCAGGACGACTTGTTGGAGGAACTTGACGCAGCATATACGCACGCCAGGGGCGGCCGAGTCCATTCGTCGCAAAATGTTTGCTTTGATGCCAAACATGAGGCCCCAGTTTTGCGAATCGCTGGGGTCGGAGACACTGGGCACATGCAAGAATAAGAGCGTGTTCGCATGAAGACAGTCAAGGAGCATGCGAGCATAAAGGGACCTCAAGAATGCGCAGGGCATGTTTGACATGCGAGGGGCTCTATCTGATGCGAGGGAGGGGTTTACTTACGTATGTTTGTATACAAGTGGATACACGCTCGCGGCCGCCTGGATGGCACTCTTGATGACGCTCTTGTCATCGACATTCTCCAGGTAGGCCTTGAGGGTAGCCAGCACCGAGGGCGCGCTGCTCTGCTTGGCCTCTTGGGGCCATGCTGGCGATGCGAAAGCCTCTGCCAAAAACTCGGCACCCCAACGCTGTATCTCGATGCTCTGGTCTTCACTGTAACCGATGATGGGGAGCACGCCCGGTATAATGGTAGGATAGTATCTACCGTCGCCTAACGCGAGCGACCGGGCCGACTCCATCTGCTGTATCGTTTGCGAAGTCATGGTGATGATGGTGGCAGCACACTGGCGGCGCGCTTTGTAGTGAAGGGTAGGAGTAGGAGTTGTAGGAGACGTAAGGCTTGCTCACGCGCGCGACGCAACAGTCAAACTAAGAGCGCGACAAAGACCTGACGTGTTCGGCCAAAGGGCGTCCCATTCCCCACAATGCTAGCAATTACAAAGAGGCTGTAGAGAGCGTAGAGAAGGAAAGGGGGGGTGTGGATGTGGATGTGGATGGGGACGGGGGTGATGATGGTGTTGACTACAGCTACGGGCGCGAGGTGAGTGGCGCAGGGTTGACGCTGCGACTGCGATGATGTGCGCCCTGCCCGCCAAGACGCCCGCCTAGCCCCATGCATCATCTCACCACCATTTCTTTCCCCGCAGAATCCGCCCGGGAGCCTCACAACACCGCCACCATGGGATAGTAAGTCTTCGCGCTATATTCATATGGTCTCTGCCACGCATACTAACATTGACCCCAACAGCAAGCCATTCCGCTCAACCTACTACGATGACCGCATGCGCGCCTCGCCCGCTCTGCTGCGAGCCCGCGCGCCCTACCTGATCAAGAACACCATCACCGGCTTCGCAATCTGCTCGCTTGTCATCGGCATATGTGCGCATCATCTTCCTGCCTGTTTAATTGGAGTGCTGACCCACCTTTTTCCAGACACTTACACCATCAATGCCATCTCCCAAGACGAGTTCGAGGATGTTATTGTGCCAGACAAGCCGCTCGACAGATCCGCTCAGCCTACCACCCAAGCCCTTCAGCAGGCCATGGACGCGCGCAAGTAAAATAATCATCTGCCTGTATATTGGTGTAAAAGACATGTATGCATTGGGTTGGCGCTACAGGAATCATTCGGGAAATACCACTTTTTCGCCATTTTGAATCGCACTATGCTCAAGACTGTCCGTTTACGTATTCCACTTGCATACCGTGTGCAGAATCTCTTGCCCCGTTCAACATTGCACATTCAAGATCAACATGACTGGGCGATAGTTACGGTAGCGATCTCCGCTCCGCCTTGCATCCGCTTCATCGACCAATCATGTGTGTGCTGCATAAACTCCTTCGCGAGGACCATGGAATACCTTGTGGCTCTATTGCTTTTCTTCTCATACGCTATTCAAAAACTTTCAAGGACTACTAGCAAAGTGGCCTTGGAGAACCGGAATATTTGTAATCCACATTATTCTCTGGCACCAACAGATTTTAGGCCCTATCATAATAGCCGCTTACTCACGCGCGTTTATATCATGGATACGTTTCCGTTGACTTCACTGCTTCTTTATGCGGTATGAGGGCCGCACTTACAGCCGTCTCGAAGAGTTTGGTGTGATGTTTCCTGGGTCCTTTCCCCACTTTCTCCTCCATATCTATCCTTTATATACTCAAAACTACATCCCGCAACTCTCTCATTCTTGAAGCACCAGATCTCCTCAAGCAAGCAAAAGTAAGTAACAGAGTTCCAGTATCTGAAAGAAAACTGGCCAGATCTCCAACACCAAATGTACCATTACTAACTCCGTCAAAAGCCTGCAAACAACACCACAACGAAAATCGCCATGGGTAATCAGGGCGAATCTACAGTCTTGGACTCCAGAAGTCCTAAGGGCAATTCTTCTATCCGGCGGTTGCTCCACGTCCTCAAGCACGCCACCAAGAACCGAAAAACCGACACAGACTCCTTGAAAAGCAAAGCCAGCGACCTGCCTTCTATGCCCAGCACACCTCAGAGCAGCAGCACCGATGGCAACACAGAGCCCACCCGATTCAATGCAAATGAGCTCAGAATGCGCATTCTACGCAGTAACACGTCTCCAGCTGTGCCCCCAACTGCCAACCCAGTCACTGCATCCGGGTCTACCCACCAAACCCTCTTCAGTGTTCCCGAGAACGCTGTATCCAAGAACGGTGCCCAAGAACCCTCACAGGCACCCATCGCCCGCAGCAGCACTGAAACCCCTAGTGCTTCTAAGCCTTCAAGGAGCCGCAAGTCACGTCAGCCTACCATGATTACTCCTGAGCTCATGCAGCAGATTCAAATCTCCAACAAGAAGCGCAGTGGCGGTGCTCTGCGGGATAACGGTGAGCTTCGCAGGAAGAATCTGGGAACTGCGACTGTGACGAATAGGGCCAAGGCTGTTGTTGCTAGCCCTCTTCGGTGGTCGGAGGAGTAGATAATGCGATCTATTATTTTTGAAAATGGAGGGGAAAAATACATGGGGAAGTGATTTCAGGGTAGCGATTACAGCTTATACTCGCTGATGGAGTGGCGTAGACGGTTGGTTCCCCTTTCTTCGTGACCACTGTATCAGAGGCTGCTGGATAAACTAATTTTGTATTTTTTTGTGTTTTGTATTACTCGACACTATCATTTAATAATACCTTACTACCATTTACTAGAACTTGTCCAAAGTACCTTCAAGCCCAGATGTATCATCCAACAGCACAAAGATAACTTGCAGATATACATTTTCTAAGAATAACTTGATTGCGCACAACCAGCCACTTTGAACTACCTCATCGACCTGTCTCGCCACCAACACTTTCCTCGCGCCGCACTCTAAACCCCACACCAGGCAACCGACTGCTCAACAACAACGAACTACAAACCACACTAACACTGCTCAGCGCCATCGCCAAAGCAGCCCACACCGGATCAAGCTTAACATGCTTCTCCCCCGTATGCCCCATCGCCATCCCCCCATGCATCTCCATCTTCTCCCCCTTCCCACCACCACCTCCTCCTCCACCGGTAGTAATCGGATACAGCACGCCCGCTGCAATCGGCATAGCCACCATATTATACACAAGCGCCCACCCGAGATTAAAATAAACGCGTCGAAACACCACTCTTGAAAGATCCAGAAGCGTGAGAATAGTGGTGAGACGACTGTTTATCAGGATGAAAGATGAAGAGCTCAGTGCAATGTCTGAACCTGAGCCGATGGCGATGGATAAATCGGCGGTGGAGAGGGCGGGGGCGTCATTGATGCCGTCGCCTACCATGGCTATTGTTGCGCGTTGATGTCTCTTGTTCTCATTTCTCTTTGTGCCGAAGAAGGAGAAGAAGAAAGAAGAGCGTTTGGGTTGTTTGTGCAGGGTCTGCTGGAGATACTTTATTTTCTGTGCTTTTTCCTTTGGCAGCACGCCTGCGATGATGTTGGAGGCTGGGATACCGACTTGGGCGCCGACGGCGTTGGCGGTGGTGGGGTTATCGCCAGAGAGCATCCAGGTGGATATGCCGCGGGCTTGTAGGGCGGCAATGACGCTGTGGGCTTCGGGGCGGAGGGCATCGGCGATGGAGAAGGTACAGGCGAGGTGCCAAGTTGGGGTTGGAAGGGTTTCGGTTTGGGCGGTAGAGAGAGTTTCGCTGGAGGAGGTGGAGGTAGAGCGGGCGGGGTGCGGGGAAGAGGAGGGCATGAAGAGGGCTGCGAGGGCAATGGAGTCGCCGCGGGATTTCCAGGTTGAGAGGAGGGTGGTGGACGAGGGGGGGGTGGGGACGGAGTGGTCGGTCATAAAGGCTTCGTTGCCTACGATGGCGGTGATGTCTTGTCCGTCGACTCGGAAAGTGCCTTTTAAGCCTTTACCTGGCACTTCGTCGATGTCGACCACTATCGGCGTGATGTGCTCTTCTCTGTTGCAAAAAGAGACAAGTGCACGTGCAATGGGATGATTGCTGTTTTGTTCGAGAGCCTTGACAAGACCCAGCACCAGTGAGCCTTTCTGACCTCCGGAGAGCTGGTGGTCCGTTACTGCTGGATCGCCGCCTTGGGTAAGGGTTCCCGTCTTGTCGAAAACAATACAGTCGAGAGAACTGGCTTCTTGGAATGCCTCGCCTCCGCCTCTAACGAGTATACCGTGCTTTGCAGCTAGACCACCTCCGACGAAGAGCGCAGTTGGAGCTGCAAGACCAATACCGCAGGGACAGGCGATAACGAAGACCGCAATTGCGAACCGAAGAGACCAAAGCTCCCATCCACCAGCACCCTCATTCTTCCAGTCATTTGGAATAGCTCCCGTCTTACCGAGAATGAGCCACACCAGCCAAGTCGTGATTGCAACGGCAATGACAAACGGTACAAAATGCGAAGTGATAACATCTGCTGCCCTCTCAACAGGCGCACGCCGTGACTGACCTTCTCGTACAGCATTGATAATCTGATCCAGCATCGACGTCCCCTCAATACTCGTAATCGTAATCTGAACAGGAGATCCCTTGTTCATCGTACCCGAGTACACTGTATCACCCTCCACTTTCTTCACAGGGCGGGATTCCCCCGTCAAACTCGACTCGTCAAAGCTTGAACTTCCCTCTACAATCTCGCCATCAAACGGCGGTGACGCACCATGGTGGACTCGAACTACATCCCCGATTTCAAGTAGGCCGGTAGCGATTTTGATATCGCCTTGTTCAGCGTCCACAAGGACAGCTTCACTAGGACGCAATTTCCCCAGCGACGTAACCGCATCCCCCGTCTTCGCCTTGCTATACGCTTCCAAGAAGCGACCAATGAGCAAGAACATAGTCAGAAAGACGACAGCATCGAAATACGAATCATGCATTGAACCGTGGGACATTCCTGTAGCTGCCATAATGAGTTCTGCAATCGATGCAAGGTACGCAATTGTAGTGCCGAGCGAGATGAGCATATTCATGCTTCCGAATCTTGTGAAGCGATGCAGAATCGGTGTTCGACTTCCCGGCCGCCACAGCGCTGTTACTTCCTTGATCGCGCGCCGGTGGAATGTGTCTGCTGCGAAGAAATAAACGGGTGTTGCGAGAAAGAAGAGGGCCCAGCTTAGTCTTGTGACGTTGCCTGCCCACATGGATTGCATGAGGTATTTGCGTAGGGGGTTCTCGGCGCTGATTAGGCTCATGAAGACGATGCCAAAAACGAATGTAGGTATGGCGATGATGACGCAGAGTGTGAGGCGGAGCAGGATTCGTTTGCGTTCTTGTGCGTGCATTTGGCGCGCGCGTTCCTCGATTGTAGGCGCGTGGAAGACTGAAGGGATGAACACGGGGTTTAGGCTGGAAATAGTCGAGAAGATATGCCGGATGGTGAAGGTAGAGGGGTTCGGTACGTATCGAATGTGTAGGATCGGGGTTTCGAGGGATATAGGGGGGTCTTCGAGTATGAACGTATGCTTATTTGCGAAGGCTTCCTGGAGTCCTTGTATAATATTCGGCGGGCAATGTTCGCAAAACATACCATCGATGCGTATCGTGACTGTTCGCTCGATTGCTTCGATTGCCAGTGTGCTGTCTGGGACAACATGGTCGAGTGTGGCCGTATACCCAACGTCTTCGATGATTCCTTCAATCTCTAAGAGATGCTCCTTGCCGGTAAAAACGATGGTTGCACTGTTTGAAACTAGATTGACGTCGATTGACTTAATCCAATCAAGCGGTTCCAGTGCCCGAGTCACGTTGCCAACACATGACGAACAGGTTAGACCACCGAGCAAGTAAGTCGCGCGCCAACGCTCCGTCTTTTGTTTGGATGGTTTTGTTTCTGGTGCCGTATTTTGGACTTCTTCTAACTTCTCTACTTCGACATCAAAGCCACAGTCTTCAATTGTCTCTACAATCTCGTCGCACTTGGCTCTTCCAGTGAAAACAACCACTCCGCTGTTTGTAAGGAGGTTAATGTTGACTGATTGGACCCACGCGTGTGCTTGAACGGCGTGTGTGATGGCGGACACACAGGAGCTGCATGTCATTCCAGTGATGGCTAGCGTAACCTTGTACGTTGTGGTAACACTTGGAGACTCGACGGCGATAAAATTCTCGGACACAGTTGTTTTCAGTTTTGGCGATGAAGCGTCATCCATGCTCGTTCTAGCGGAGGTTGTGATGGATGAGTGAGGCTCGCACGTTGGTGCGTCTGCGCTGTGTACGCTGACCATGCCTTGCTCTTTCTCCAGTTCCTCGCGTTGCGCCAAGGGTCCTTCTTTCTCTTGCATTGCGTATTCCAAGTCGCTGGACCCTTGAGTGTACGACCAATAACTCACAGCACGCTTCTAGATGGCGTGCTATTCCCCACTTCTTCCCTCACCTTCCAAGTTTTTATTCTCGACTGGATATCTGGCCGCTTTGTTGTTTGAAGGGGCGCTGTGGAGTTTGGGATCTGTCAATTCCTAATGACGCAGTAATTTCATCAACATTAAGTGATGCGGTATGGCGTAGTGTACTACAAGTGATAAAATAAAGAGTATAGGCAGAAGAATGTCATGGTGAGGAAAGTAGACAAGCGATGAGAACGACAAACAAGGAAGGTATGGATATGATGCCCTCTTATTTGAGCCATCGAGTTTTCCTGATTAATCTACACACCAAGACTTAGCATGGAGCCCGAGAATTGTTTGTAAGGCTAGGGCTGCACTAGTCCACATGTGGGTGGTGATGCACACGCTCGTGCAACGGAGGGTGCATCGTGTCAACATACCGAGCCGGAAGGCGTTGAAGGATGATCCATTCGGTCATTATGCGTCCAGATAAGGAAGTTTTGTGGCTGAACATTTTGTAATTATGTTGGTTAGAGGCGAGCCAGCATGGTAAGGCCAGACTAGTGTCCATCATCGGAGGAACATATAGAGTGGTGCCAACGCGCCGCGAAAAAGCAGTTTAGCTAGCGCTTCAACTTGACGGTTTGTACCGCATACTCTTGACCAAACTATCCAAGAAAAAGAACGATCAGTCGAAGATCTCAAAAAGACATGTACTGCATGAACTTGCATTAGTTCCTTGTAGCTCTTGCGGCATGTTGAAATTACTTCCGAAGGATTTTTCCCGAGCGAACGAATTTGACATGCTTTGATCTCACAGTATCTACTACTACTATCCTGCTGATCTACGCTGAGATGTTGGAAATTTCTTTTGGTTAGGAACAGGCCACATCACGAACATTGCGATATCTCTCGTTGTATCCACTCGCAATCAGCCAGTAGCAGGTGAGCGGGAATGAAAGAGGTCTCTCTTTGGAAAATATAGAAAAAGAGAATCAACGAAGAGTGATCACCCGTCAAAGCAGACGGGTCAGTTGCGATAATCACATTATCTAGCAATTAAAGAGACGAAAGCAATCAAAACACTCTAAATATATGGAACTAAAGTTGAATCCCTCGTCATTGCCGTGTTTGACCTATCAGTGTGATGTTACGCGAATGTCGTGCGACGCTGACACGTACGCCCAAGAGGAATGAGTATATAGTAGGGCGTAAACTAATACCGATCCCTGAGGAGTTACTCAACTCTCAAATAGAGGAAAATGAACTTTGTCACAGGGCGATATCTTACTCGGGCCGGTGATGTTAAGAGGATTGCTATTTGCTTGGTCTCAAGTATCGTGCCAATCATTGCCGGGGTTTCATCTGCAAGCTTGAATCCGGATCAAATCTGTTTTGCCATTGGTCCTTATAAGTCGCGGAGCGAGCGTCGTTATTTCCTATCTAAGAACGCCAAATAAAGGATAATCGGGTACACGGAAACGGATAGTGATGCAACTCTATAGTCTAATGTAGAAAATTCACTGTCATCTGATGCATCAAGTGTCATAACAATGCAACATGCAAAATGCGAGTTGTGGGATAAGATGGCCTGTTGTTCTATAGCTCATCCTTTTCCTTTTCCTCGACGTCGACGTCGTCTCTTGAGATGCTCTTCGCTTCGAAAGTATCCCCTTTCTTTGCAACTCGTCGCAGTCGAAAGACTCGCGCAGCGTGACTCTTTACGTCCGCTTTGAGTAACCCTCCAGCTTTGGCTACGCCAATCTTCTCGCCAAATAGTCGTGGATCTTCTTGGGCAAGACCAGTAGCGTAAGGGATTTCGGTGGCGTTGTACCAGTTCGCCTTTGACAGTACTGTCTGCTTCTCTGAACTTGTCTTTGCTGCAAGTATCTGCTCAGCTGTCTTTTCAGACATGCGATGCGCCCAAAGATCATGGATGTCCCAGTCGTACTTGTTGTGTGGTGCTGAGCCCCCAGGTCCGTAGGGTATGAAAATCTCCGCAAGTGAAACACTCATCTCAATGTCTTTTCCGCCAGCATTCAGAAGAATCACGACTTCGTCGCCATTGTGCAAATGTCCAGCCCACACGTGCGTCTCACCGACGCCCCACTCATCTTTGGCGACACCCTCAGTATCGCGTCGGACTCGCGTTACACTTCTACCATGAGGGTCCTGGCTCAGCGCGATGATGGCCGGATTGTTGATAATGGTAAGCGCAGAAGCAGGCATATCGCGCAGGTCGTTGCCAAGGAACAATGGGGATTTGAGGGCTGCCCAAAGTGCAAAGTGTGCTTTGTACTCTTCATCAGTCATACCGCCCTGTCCGACTTCGAGCATGTCGAGGTCACTCCAGCCACCAGGAATGCTACGGTCTGCAAATGGCGCGACCTTGTTAAGAATGAACAGTACCGAGCAGTGAGTGCCCGGTGCTACACAGTTGACGTCACCTGGCGCCACGGTGTTGCAGCCGCAGAGGTCGTCGGGTCGTGTAAATGAATCATAAATGTCGCCTGTTATGCGCCAAGAGTTCGAGATAGACATCCCCCACTACCGTCAAAAATTAGCACACGCTTATTATAGCACCAAGCATGTAAAAGCGGCACATATCTTACCGTATGAACTAGATCTTCGCCCCAATTACACAAATTGAACAAGATGTTTCGTCCTGTCGCTTTCAAGGCGTCTGCCATGGTCTTGAAACGATTGAAGGATACTGACGGAGTACCAACACGGCCCATGTGATAACAGCTGTCATACTTCAGCATGTCCACTCCCCACCCAGCAAAGCTATTTGCGTCATCAACTTCGTGGTCGAGCGACCCAGCTACTCGGTTTTAGTGTGACAATATGGAATGGGTGATGGGGGTTGTCATACAGAATCTCGCACAAGTCATTTCGCCGGCACTGCTGTACATTCCAAACTTGAGATTGCGGTCATGGAGATGGTCTGAAATTGACTTTAAGCCATTGGGAAACTTGTCCAGTGCCGGTTGGAGTTTCCCTTCCTTATCGCGGCCCTTTGGGTTTTGCCAGCAATCATCTAGGACGACGTAGTTATAACCCAAGTCTCGCAGACCCAAGTCAATGATCTGAGCCGAGGTTGTGAGAAGCAGGTTTTCGGAAACATCGCATCCAAACGCGTTCCAGTTGTTCTTTTGAGATCAGCAAGTGAATCAGATAATGGTCATAAACATCGTACCCAACCCATTGGCGGTGTGATAGCAAGGCCATTGTTTACGGCAGCTGCGACGTTGGCTAAAGCCGTGACAACGAGGATGCTGCTATGTGAGGGAGGCATGTTGGAGTATTGGTATTGCCTCTCCAACAACGCAAGCCGGATTAGCAAGTTGAGCAGACTTAAATGGCTACACCCCCTCTCAGTGAACGCGAATCTTTCTACTAGATTACCGAAGTTGAAACTCGGATGTGGGGGGGGGGGGTGCTCCGCACGTGGGTGGGAAAACCGATGGGTTTTCCGCCGCTAACATCGCCCAAGGATTTCATCCCCGCCTTTCGTATCGACTAGATCCTGGAACCTAGACTTGGCTCAAATCCATACCATTGCCATACCGAGTGTGTGGTAGAGGAAATATTCTTCGTCCTTATAGGGATAGGCCTGAGTAGCAAGAGAGTGGCGATTGCTTACTCAATGCCAGCAGCGCCTCGTACTCAGGATCGTGGTCTCTCGGTTCAAGCTCCATGTGAGGTGCAAACTGGACTAGAAAGCGTAAAAGCCACCGATCGAGTACAAAACTAGTTTCTTTGCTTCGAAGACATGTCTGGTGGAACGCTCGAAGACGACTCATAGCACCGTCCACACTAGGCCAATATGCACGCAACCTAAGCAGGATCTCAAAGTTGCGCTCTAGTCTTGCTTTTGAAATTCGTATCTCTGCTTCGTCAGCGGAAAAGAGGAGGGTATGAATCTGCACAGTGGATGCAATGACGAGGACGTGTGATACTGCAGAGTACATGACGTCGCTGCCAGGTGTCGCGTGTGAACGATATACCAGCGAGCAAAGCCGTGCAGCATGGTGTTTGCATGCGTCTGCATAACGCCCAGACTCTGCCGACGCCCCAGTCGACAGGGATAGAAACTGGTAATTCAGGAGTTGACCATAATGGTAGTATCCCAGATACACGGCTGCAAACATACGCCCATGACCCCGTGAGGCAAAGTATTTGAAGTTGTCCGGCGTGTCACGCATATGTTGCGGAAGGTTTTCGAGCCAGACGTCCAAGTCGCGCGACAACTCGCGCATGCCTTTCTCCAGTGGCAAGCCTTCAAGGTGATCTGACACGCATGTGCGATTGAAATCAATGATCTTGGATAAGATCCGGTTGAGTTTCACCATCTCAGCCATGAGGGGAGAGGATACAGATGTCGGATCAATGCACCCGTGTTCCGAATCGGTGCCCATAGACGAGAAAGGAAACTCGTCAACTGGCAGAGGCACCACGATATCAAATGGCATTATGCGCGGCAATCGGACGGCAGTTGACGACCATACATCGACCATACATATGGTCCACCATATCCTTATGTTTACTTCACGCTCTATCAGGCTGGCAACTGGACGGCTTGGCAAGTCGAGGGCCAAACACATGCGCCCAGCCATGCTGTAATACATATTCTCGACATCGGTCTGGCCGTTAGCGGCAGCGTATGCGCCTAGGAGCAGGCAGACTTGAATAGTTGTGGGATGCAGATGACGGATGTTGAGCAATTCCTCACTTCGTATCCGGTACCGTTCGCCCCGTTCCCTCGGGTCTGTTCCATGGAATGCTTGGTTGGTTGAGAATCTTGCCGAGAGAGCGAACATGGCAAGAAGCACAATTGCCGGGACTCGGTCATGCATGACATCTTGGAGGAAGGATACGCGATGGTAGATGGAGTGGAATTGGTCGTGAATGTAGTCGAAATACAAATCGACTAGCTCTCGTCTCAGTGCAAGGGGCGGCATGTCTGGTCCGGCGTGCCTTGCAATTGCTGGAGTTGCATCCTGGTTCTGGGGATGCTGTGGAGGCGAGTTGAGCGATTGCAGCCTAGCCTTGCGCTTTGCATAGTACCCGCCTTCTGGTGGGCCTTGGATACACTGTTGGCCATGTGACGAACAGTACTCACACACCGCATCCACGCCGTGTGTCGGATAGATGCATTTGCGACGACGCGCCCTATGACAGCGTCAGCATGCATGTGTGTGGCTTGAAGACGCCCGTGTAGGTAGTCGAGGGCTTACCGGCAAACTGTACAGGCAGACGGTTTGCGCATAGCGTGTCAAGAGCAGCCAAGTTTGGCGACCATCTCTGGGGTAAGGAAAGCGGAGAACTGACGGAAAAGTCGATGGTGTGAAGGAAGACAGTGGCTGGCCACGACTCGCGACAACCTCTGAGCGGCTGAGTCCCGAATAGGAAACTGGCCCGCCAAGCGCAAACACGTGCCATTCCCTCTGCTAGCGGCGGTTTACTCGCGGAAAAGTCTCGCCCCTGGGCAACCGACTGGGCAAATCTCGTCGACGCTGCCTACTGGTCACTTCGCCTAGCAGAATGCTCCATACTGTCCCCATGGGCACCTGGCATCAACTTCTCCCCATGGTTTTCCCCGCAAGTAGATCTGGCCATGCCCCTCTTGGCCACTACCGAGCACCTGGGCCAACCACTCCCTCGGACTAGTCTTCTCTCGTGGCTCGACTCTGGCCCGACTTCCAACGCTTGTAGCCATGCTCTCGGCCGCTCTATATATCTACGCCTCGGCCCCATTCAAATCTTCTTTTCACTCCAGTCTCCATCACCAACCCTCAATCTCCTGGGACAACTCTGTGCGTCTTGCCCGATCTTCGAGCTTGAACCACCATGGCTTCCAAGGAGAAGACCGAAGCCCAAGTGGCTGAGAATGTTGCCTCTCACGCCTCCAATCCCGCCGACGACACCAGCGCGGCCATCAGCAACGAGCAAAACATGACCGTCCGCCAGGCCCTGCGCTTTTGGTCCAAGGCCATTGTTTTCTCCTTCGTCATCTCGCTCTGCGTCGTCATGGAAGGATACGATACGAGCTTGATGAACAAGTTCTTCGCCTTCACTCCCTTTCGCAATCGGTTCGGCGACCAGGTCGACGTTGATGGCAACAAGCTGGTCTCTTCGCGATGGCAGACTATCATTCTCAACGGAACTCAGGTGCGGACCTCGCTTGGACCATTAATATCACCGACTAACATGTTCTGATAGGTCGGGTGCATCCTTGGTCTCATCATCAACGGTTACATCACAGAATGGATCGGATACAAAAAAACCATGATTGGCAGCATGGTCTTCATGATCGGCGCCATCTTCATTCCATTCTTCTCTACTGGCCTCGAAATGTTCCTTGTGGGCGGTATCATCCAAGGTCTTCCGTGGGGTGTTTTCCAGACACTTGCCATCTCGTATGCTGCGGATCTCTGTCCCTTGCAACTTAGAGGTACGTGAACCAAACGCGCCGAGCACACGACAATACTGACTAGTACCAGGATACATGACGTCGTGGATCAACATGTGCTGGGTTATTGGTGGTCTTCTCTCCACTGGTATCCTCACTGGACTGATGAAGAACGCGACACAGTGGGGCTACCGTGTTCCTTTTGCTCTCCAGTGGATCTGGCCGATCCCAATCATTGTCACTACCCTCCTTGCACCCGAATCGCCATGGTGGCTCGTCAGGCAGGGCCGTATCGACGAGGCCAAGGACGCAATCCGGAAGATTACCACCCCTACCGAAGGCGTCAAGTTTGATGTGGATGCCCACGTTGAGATGATGATTGTTACCGACCAGTACGAGAAGCAGGTTGGAGCAGGAACCAACTACTGGCATTTGTTCCGCGGCAGTGACCTTCACCGTACTGAGGTCAGCGCCATGAGTTTTATCACGCAAGCTTTATGTGGAGTTCCCTTCATGGGCTTTGGAACCCAGTTCTTTTTAGGCGTTGGTCTCAGCCAAGACGATTCGTTCCATCTCACCGTCGGTCAGGATTGCTTGGGTCTAGTTGGTTGCTTCATCGCCTGGTGGATCATGACGCGTTTTGGCCGACGACCTATTTACCTCATCGGTCTCACCGCTATCTTTCTCATTCTTTTGATCGTTGGATTCATTGGCCTCGCGCCGCAGTCGAACAAGAGCGCCGGTCTGGCTGGAGGTGTTCTGATTATCCTCATGATTTTCTGCTTCCAGGTATGTTTTTCTGGCTATGGTTTTTTTTCATATCTTTTCTAACATAACTAGCTTTCACTCGGGCCTATCTGCTATTCTCTCGCTGCCGAAATTCCTTCTTCTCGTCTCAGAGTAAAGACCGTCGCTCTCTCTCGCGCATCCTACAACTCTATCGTCTTCGTCACCAACACCATTATGCCCAAGATGGTCGGTAAGAATGACTGGAACTGGGGTGCCAAGGGCGGCTTCTTCTGGGCTGGCATTGCATTCCTCTTCATCATCTGGGGTTACTTCCGTCTTCCCGAGCCCAAGGGCTTCACGTACTCTGAGCTTGATGTCATGTTTGAGCATAGGGTTTCGGCCCGCAAGTTCACTCGTGAAGTAGCAGACTCGCTAAAACCTGCTCTTAGGGACACTGCGATGCAGTTCGAGAAGCAGAACAACATTGAGCAAGTAGAGTCGCGCGCATAAGTTAATGACTGCTTAAGCCGCTACGATGTAATGTTGGTAATAGAGAAGAGACTATTGCTCTTCTGTAGGTCTGTAGTTTAGCCGAATAATACCCTTGATTGTTGCGAATCCATTTTGAGATGACCTAGTGAAAGAGTACTGAGTCACGTGAATTTGCCATACAACTTTACATTGGCTACTCTTGATAGGATAGTGTACTCTATGCAGGCTTGTAACACATTGAGACTAGAGCTAGATCAACATTACACATTCGCTAAAGAAACGAGCCAATCAAATCTATTTGCAAAGAGACTCAGCGTACATCTACCCATGTATAGTACAGTACAAGCACCCTACTTCGACCAATTTCAACAATTTATCCCTACAGAAAACAACCACTCATCCCGACCCCATTGCACTTTCCATCTCTCTTCCTCCAGCCATGTAATCCCACCATACCCCAAACCAGACACACAAGTCTAACTAAAACGCCTCTCCACCCACCATTTACTTCGGAAAATAGCTAGATACCAGGCCCCCCCCCCCTCCACAAGTATCTATCTTATCGCCCCCCACACTTTGTCTGGCAATGCTCATCACCAACAAGGGTAGCAGGAATATGAAACGTATCACCGCACCCGCACTCGTTACCGCTCCCCCCCCCCCAGAGCATGGTAGAGGTCCTTCTCGCAGAAAGCCATGCATTTCTGCCTCGTGATCGCGGAATCAGTGGTGACTTTGCCGTTGATGGCGCGCTCTCTGCTTTCGACGTAGCAGCCTAGGTACTGGAATTGGTGCGCTCGGCGTAGATTTTCTTCGGCGAGCATGGCGCCGTACTTGGGTTGCTGTTGCTGTTGCTGCTTGAGAGGTAACTCGGCGTTTGCTTTGTTGGGCTGGGCTGTCAAGAGGTCCTCGCGTGCTTTGCACGCTTCGTTTTTTTGTTCAGTGAGCTCGTTCATCAAGGTGTCCTCGCGCGTATTGCATGTTTTCGTTTGTTCGTTGAGATTGGGAACGGCTTCTTGCTCGTGTGAGAGGCATGCCTTCTTTGTCGGTCTAGTAGTTATCAGGGATGATCGGGCCGGAAGCGGTCCGGGGAGAGAGACTAGTTGAATGTGATGCCGTTGGTATAGGAGCAGGCGCAATGGGGTATGTCGGAGGGGTTAGTTGGCGCATCAAAGGGATGGTGTTGCACCTGTTTCTTCTCACATGTGAGCTTCACTTTCGGGGTTTGGGCGTGGGATTTCTGGTTTACTTACCGTTTTGGCATTGGTACGAGGTACCGGCACTATATGCTGCTGCGCAGAGGGTAGAAAGAAGAATAGCTAGAGAAGCCCGCATTTAGTATGTTTGCAACGATTTTTTGGTGGGATGGGAATGAGAGTTGTGGTATATAGAGCTTATTCCTTCCATGTATTCACTCTTACATTCGCTTTGCTGGGCTACGACACACTTTAATCATCGACAATTGAGGAATCATGGACCAAGTCAATACAGTATCGCATTGAATGGTTTTTATAATCTAGCATCAGCCTAAGAGCCCCAGAGGCATGCAAACCTTTGTAGATTTTTGTTTCCAGTTAGTTCTGTTTTGCGCCAAACCGAGGTCCATAGGAAGGGCCTTCAGCGTTATTTGAGTAAAGCGACGTTTCTCTACCGCCCTTATTGGCTTGGGCATCACGAGCTGATTTCTAGCTTTGAAATAAGATAATACAGCAATCATTACAAAACCTAGCCTAGATATTCAACAAAGCATTAGGAGTTTTGCTCTAGACCCGTAATACATGGTGTTAGGTTATACTGCTCTACCTGTAACGGACATCAAGACGAAAGGGATGTATGTAAAAAAGAAGTATCTCAGCAATCACCTAGAGGCCCTATATATAGGATAGCAAGTAACTGGTGGGAGAGAAACGAATGCATATGAATGCATATTATTGCAATAGGACAAATGAGTAGGTGTAAATCCAGATGAGAGAAGACCTTTCAGCATTTGACTACACTGAGCTCAATGATAAATACATGCATCCCATTGCCTGTTGCGCTAATGTCTCTGAGGATTACGATTACATACTAGCGTCTGGGAGATGTTAGCGTGATATCAATCATGTCGTCCATGCTTCCCGCTTTTCTCGTTGCTTTTGAAAGGAGCCCAAACTGTTTTCTCCCTCCGGCGCGGAATCTTTCTTATTCCTTATGATGGATCATTTTTGGTGCCATATCCTCCCAGCGTCTACCAGTTATTTGACTTCTTCCGCTTTGGTTTTATTTCCAATGGGGCGTGTCCCCAGACTATGAATTCCGAGGTAAGTTCTTCAATTCATGAGATTGTTCAAAAATACCAGCGTCTTGGTCGGTTGTACAGCATTCCTTTTCGAACTATGCCAATCCGCATATGAACTCATATGGATGCATGAAGCAAAAGTATGCTTAGGATCTACGGTCAATTCTTCTTCTGAGCTAACGAGCTGTCTAAGAGCACCTAGTAGCGTAGCTATGAAGTTGGGGCGCTAGTCACGTTACACCAGAGTGCTTCTTTTCCAGAGCATTGGCACTGCTCCATACCCTTTCCTAACAGTGGGCACTAGTCCCTTTATTTCTTTTGAACCAATACCAAAGTATGAAAATAACTATCTTTTCGACGAGTGTTCATAAGAGACAAGCGTTTTCGCAAGCAAGCCATAACATTCTGTAATAGGTCTTGAAACCCTTCATCGGGGAAAAACTGTTCTGAAACGACAGCGTTCAATCAAGAAGACTTATATCGGTGTTTTTCCATATATGAGAAGGCCAGCGAGTGATATACAGCGTATGTTGAGAACGAGAAAAGTCAGTACAAAAAACATCAATTCCTACATCCCATTGTTTCAAAGCAATGTATACTTTTGAACTTCATCATGTGACAATAGAAAGGCCGATCAGATAACTACATTCAAAAAAATTCAAATTGCTTCATTGCAGTATAAAAATTATAAAGAAAGCTGAAGATGCACGGTTCAAAGTGCAATGGGCTGTATCACCCAAGATCTAATGCTTTACCGTACCTTGGGTAAGCGGTATACCCGCAGCTGTGATCGAACATATTTGGCGACTATGTAAGCAAGATTGACCGCGTTCATGGTCGCATACAAGGCTGGGCAGGACCTGCCCAGTATACAAACACTTGGGACGGCGCGGTCGCCGTAAGTGTTCAACCGCCTTAGCTGCCTCTAGAGGGTTGATTAAGTCTGAGCTTAGCATATCAGATTGTCTCGCATAAGCACGATTACAACATCTATATCCCGAGAGTAAGACTCTGGGTAGGAAGTATGATGACTTGAAAAGCTATCACTTGACACTGTCTAGCTTAGCATCTCAAAGCAATCTTTCCTCTGTCATATAACTACGTACTCAATTGCACCAACTTTAAGTCTATTGTCCTGTTACCAGCAGGTCGGGACACGATCTGCTATATTTTTTCTTTCCTTTTCTCAAGCTAAAAAATGGTGAGCTCATACACTAGACATGACCCAGATGCAAAACCATAAAAGCAATGCAAGCACGTCCATCATACCTCCACTTAGCCTAGAGCTGCATTATGCCATGATAATCGGACAAATTGATTAATGACCTGAGGTTTCTTAAATACAAGGGCTGAGTTTCCATATTTATTTAGTTCACCTTTCTCTAATTACCAACCTCTCGTACTCTCACAACGCTCTTCGTCTGTTCTTTCGTGGTGCCCACCCCATACTCTGAATTACTATCATGAGATACATTTTAATTTCTGCGCTATCGGCTTTGGCCGCGGCGTCACCAACGTTTACAGCGACTGGCAACGACGTAGCCCCACTTATATCGTCAGGCTCAGCAGTTGTAGTCCCTGACAGATACATTGTTGTTTTCAAGAAGGATGTCAAAGATTCTTCTCAGCACTATGATTGGCTTCAAAGCATTCAGCCGAACAGCAAGGATCGCATGGAGCTTCGAAAGCGCTCTGGCGACGTCTTTACCGGTCTCAAGCATACATATGAGATGTCTGGGTTCATGGGATACTCTGGTCATTTCAGTGAAGAGACTGTCAAGTCAATTCAGCGCCACTCTGATGTATGTTGTATTCATATTTCTTCACTAGTACGCAGTACCAATGTGAAGAGTCCGCATAACCTGTTCAATGGCGACGGTATGGTGCTTAACCTTCGATCATCGCAATAGCCAGGCCGCTACATTCGCACAACCAGACTAGAAAAACCTCCAACGTCTCTAGAATCCTGCAGCTATTTAGTATTTGGAACTAACACATCAGTAGATTGACTACATCGAACGCGACTCTGAACTCTACCTCGATGAAAATGACTCTGAAATCAACAATGATCCATGCGGCGAGCATATGATCCAGAGGAATGCTTCCTGGGGACTTGCTCGTATCTCACAGCGTAATGGTTTGAAGAGCGAAACATGGAACAACCACCTATACGCCGCCGATGGTGGTGAGGGTGTTGACGTCTATGTCATAGATACTGGTACTAACATTGAGCATGTGGACTTTGAGGGTCGGGCTACACGGTTCAAGCGAGTTCTAGAGAACGAGCCTGAGGAAGATATTCGTGGTCATGGCACACACGTTTCTGGCACTCTTGTTGGCAAGAGACATGGGGTTGCCAAGAAAGCAAATCTCTATTCCCTTAATGTCTTTGGCAGTTCTAAAACAGTCCGCACATCCGACACCATCTTAGCTATTCAATACGCAGTCAAAGGACATGAATTAGCTGTTAAGAGCGGGAAGAAGGGCTTCAAGGGCAGCGTTGTCAATATGAGCTTAGGAGGTCCGGGTCCTGCTACCGCACAGAAACAAGCTATCGATAATGCTGTGCGTGCTGGCCTCCACTTCGCCGTCTCTGCTGGCAACGACAATATCGACGCGTGTACTCGGCATCCTGGCGGCTTCGACAATGTCATTACCGTTGGTGCATCGAATCTGCAAGACCAGCGTGCGTACTTCTCTAACCACGGCAAGTGTGTTGACATTTTTGCCCCTGGAGATCGGATTCTATCTACCTGGATTGGCCATAAGTACGCTACCAATCTTAGGTCAGGAACTTCTATGGCTACCCCCCATGTCGCTGGTCTTCTTGCCTACATGCTCTCTCTTCAGCCTGCCAAGAACTCTGCTTACTCTGGAGTTGATATCACACCTCAAAAGCTCAAGGCCAACTTACTCGCTATTGGTACTGTTGACGCTCTTGGACCTCTCCCCAGCGAAACCAAGAATATCCTCTTATGGAACGGAGGTGGCTGTTCTAACTTTGCTAAAATTATCGAACATGGTGGCTACGTTGTCAAGAAACCCGGCAATGTGGGTGGATCCAATCCCAAGAGCACTATCCTTTCCGTTTAGAAGAAGATTTCAAGATGGGAAGCTTCGAGTGCGCCCCTAGATTTAGGGACCTACAAGTTGTTTCGTCAATCACGGTATAGCTTGTATGTTACTCAGACTCAGAAAAGAAAACAGTCTTCGTTTGTTGACTTCCATCGGTGTTATACGAAGCTCTACTAGATGGGCAGCATGCCAAATCAATAGCTAAACTCTCTCATCGCATTTGTTCCATCCGTTCCCAGTTGCCGCATCCTCTTGTTACACCATTGGTAGTAAAAGCGCAAGCCAATACACCCAACAGCAACCATCATCAACATCGCAAAATTGGTCCAATGCCCTGTCGGATATCCCGCCTTCTTCTCGTTTGCTTTGTATATCCATACGCCGACAATCTGGCCGGGAGCCCCCCAAGAAACATTAAGGGCAATCGCCAGTCCTGTCGCAGCAGTGCTATGCATGTTGGTGCTCAACCAGCCCAGTAGTGGTGGGATACACGAGAATGCACCGCTAGCCGCAATAATCAAACACCCATATCGTGCATGGAAGGCGTCGGCAGGGAGAAGTGCTGACGCAAGAAAGCCAATTGCACCGATGGTGGATAAGGCGGCAGCATGCAACGCGCGGGCATTGAAGTAGTCCGACGACCAAGCGGTGACGATAGAGACTACATACGCAACCGCGTATGGAGGAACTGTCATGAGCTGGGCTTGAAGATTCTCGTAACCCAAGCCAGCGGTGATAGTCGGGGTGAAAAGCGATAGCGAGCTGAATGGTGCTGAAATGCCAAAGTAAATGATGTAATGCACCCAGAGACGGCCGTCGAGTAATGTTTCTTTGGCTGTCTTCCAGGTAAGCGAAGGTGCGTTGCCTTTTGACCCCTCGTTTTCCAAACGTGCAACAGCTAGTTCGCGTTCGGATGTCGATAGCCACGATGCTTCTTCAGGATAGTCTGGCAAAAGCAGCCATACCGCGACCGATGAGACGCATGAAGGAATTCCCTCCAATATGAACAGCCATCTCCAGGCAGAAAGGCCGTGTACCATCTTCATGTGCCCTACGCCATAAGCGATAGCACCGCCAAACGCCCCCGCAAGTGTCGCGCTCGCCAAAATGATAGCAACACGTATACTTCTTTCGCGTGCACGATACCAGAACGTGAGATAGTAGACCAAGCCGGGGAACAGTCCAGCTTCACACGCTCCGAGCAGAAACCGGACAGCGGTGACAGTCGCATAGTTTTTCGCGCCACCGAGTCCGATTGTGCAAGCGCCCCACCCAAACATGAGGAAGGCTATCCAACGGCTCGGCTTGAACTTCTTGAGGAAATAGTTACTCGGTACTTCGAACACAGCGTAGGCAACAAGGAAGACCATGAGGGCGATTGTAAACTGGTAGTTGGTCATGTGTGTCTCTTGCAGGAGGGAATGCCCCTCGTTGGCATTGAGGGTTTTGGCATTGCCAATGTTGGAGCGGTCAAGAAAGCAAAGGAGGTAAATCGTAGCGCACAAGGGGATGATACGCAGATCTTGTTTCCAGATTAAAGCCCGGACAGCTGGAGCGTTTGTTTCTTCGATGGCGTCGATGTTTTGAATGTCCTTCTTTTTGAGTTAGATTCGTGATCGCATTAGAATTTAATCTTCGCACTTACTGTGTATTTGTCTGATACCTCACCGTGCTTTTCCGCGTCGTGATGGACAGCCATTTTATGGGTTTCTCCTCCTGTGAGACACAGTAGTATGAGGATGCACAATCCGAGGGCAGCAAGCAAAATAGCAAGTAAAGAACTACTATATAACAGGTACTTAAGCACCACCAAGCAATGCTTGGTTCGCTTAAATGCATCCGTGCGTACGTTGCTGATTTGTTGACCTTTTGAATTAACGCATTATAGTAGGGATATACACCGCTAAATTGTATGTGGAGTCCGTTCTGCAGTAAAGCCGTGACATGGCTGGTTGGACCCCGCATATACCTAACCGTTACTTGCCGTTCCCCCTTGCTCCACACCCTTCGGGATTTGAAAACTATCCACATTGTATCCTAATCACATGCAGGTGTGCCGGATAGTCAGATGCGCCGGCGGATAAATCCGAGTCGTGCTATGCCTATGGCATTCGACAGGGTTGAACACCCTGCAAGAATAAAAACCTCATACGACCGCGCAAACTAAGACCTTAGTCAATACCGAGAGAATGAACAGGAGTAATGATAGAGATGCATACTCCTTATTAATGTTCCACTGGCGACACTTCTCTTAGACGATGATGGAATTCGTTTGGTGTCTTGGTTGGATGCGTTCCTCATGTTGTTGCAGTTCTGTGGTGATGTTGTGCTCTACCCCGACTGTTGCGGTTGAAATAAAGTTCTTGTATCCGCTCTTTTGACTTTGCTCATTTTTTCGATGCTATTACACCGCCATCGCGTGTGAAACTAGAGTGCACTTGCCTCTAGCCCTACAACCAGGAACATTAAGCAATCGGGAGGCTTGCTTAACTTGACCTTGGTTGGATTGATATTTACATGTTCCAGATGATATTGTTCGGGTTTCTGATTGATCTGATGTTATCTTTTTCCAATCCAACAGCGGCTAGAAGACATGGTTATGAAAGAAAGACTATTGTAGAAACTGTGTAGCTAGTTACATGACTGTTCTGCTGATGACTTGGCTAGTCACGTGAATAGTCACATGATCACACACGACGGTGATCTGATGTCCTTACTTTGACTCCAACACGTGTGCTTCCCGCTTATATACTCATGGTAAATGTGATTTTTGTCCTTGTAGGAGAATCGCAGCGAATAGGTTAAACGTATATTGGAAGAAAAGGATATAAGATATATATGATCCGTCGGAAGTCCAATAACAGAACAAACGCCAAATTAGCTGATAATTCTGAGGTCTTCATCCAAAACATCTCAGTTACACAGCGTCATACTAGAGTAGAAGAAACTGAATCAAATACATTATGGCGACCCTGTCCCTGTTGCTAAAATAGCGGTGAAACTGGTGCATAGTTGCTGGTAAAAGCAATTCGAACCTCCAATTTGTCCACGTCTTCACACAAAGACATGAATGACTTGGCTAACTCACCGCTGTCGAATTTGGGATTGGTGGTTGTAGATTGCATGTAAAAAATAGGACAAATACTTGGACTGGCTGTACGGAGAGTGTAGAATGTAGAGTTACTACCAAGGCAATGTCAACGACTCCAAAACTGCAAATAGCCCTTACATGTACAGCATCCAGAATTCACGTTCAGCATGAGTCTCTAGTGTCGCCATACATACCCGACTGTATCGGGATAATGTTGTGGAGAAGAGCTAGCATTTATGTCCATAAGAGGCTAGTACAGGCGCTAATGCATGAAACGTGACCAACAAGAATGACGTTGGTAAGGGTCCAAGCTCCGCCCCAGCCTCACACAGAGTCGCAGCCGCTATCTCTAGACGCCAACCTGAACCAACGAGCAGAGCTCCACATTCCTCCTCTACAACTATCTCCAAACCCTATCCTCAACCGTAGGACTGTCATTTCGAAGTCACTTCTCACGCGCCCCTCGTCCAATCGCTACCAGCCACCACCACCATGCAGCTTACCACGCTCTTCGTTGCCGCGCTGAGCGCCGTCTCCGTCTCCGCCTCGCCTTCGTGGATGGGAGGCGACCAAGTCGTTGTAAAGGAAGAGTACAAGGTGCCAGGCGACAACCCGCTATACTTTTGCGGCGACCCAGCCAACGACATCCTTACCATCGAGAAGGTCGACCTTAGCCCCAACCCTCCCCAGCCGTACGTGCCTCCATCTCGACGCCTCCCAGGCTCACCTGTCGCGACGCTTCGGTAGCCTGGAATCTTGTAAATTGGGACTAATGCGTGCACAGTGGGCAGACGCTTAGCATCAAAGCCACGGGCAACTTCAAACAGGAGGTTGGCGAGGGTTTCAAGATGCACCTCCAGGTCAAGTATGGCATTATCACACTCATCAACCAGAACGCCGACGGATGCGACACCATCAAGAAGGGAGATCTTGATTGCCCGCTCAAGAAGGGCGAGATGAGCCTAACCAAGGACGTTGATCTGCCCAGGGAGATTCCTCCGGTGCGCCCCCTGAATCCTTCTTGGACAATACAAGACGATGCTAACAGCACCATAGGGTCAATACACCGTTCTTGCTGATGTATTCACGGAGAACGAGGAAAAGATCACCTGCCTCACCGCCAAGATTGCATTCCACCGGTAAATGTCACCAAATCTACTTGGACACCACCATACACGACGAGCAACAACGGTGTCTGATATTCAACGATGCAGAGGGGGAACAGGAGAGAAGATTGCCAACAGCGGTGGTAACATCAAGTTTGGTGAGCCACGAGTGCAAATGTCTGGGCCCTTGGCAGACATGGTGCGGGACCGGTTACGACGAAGGAACGAGCTGTGAGAATGATACGAGCTATTCATTTGGTAAACGCGCAATGTCACTACTGTATTGGGTTTGGCGCATAGTTTGGATTTGTTATCGAGTTCCTGAGCCACGCTTAATGTAGATATGATTGATATGCATCCATGTATGGCATTTTGAACAATTTGAACTTGATGGATATCATTCCTCAACTATTTCTACGTGATATGCATGCGCAAATCTGCATCTGGTCAATATGCCTCGTGCTAGTACCACTGCTTGCATGATACATTGTGTACATTTGCCTGGCTAATGCTCCCTCAAGCACATCTACTCTCCGAACAATCTCCTGACGCGCTTCAGCACGCTGTCCTTCTCAGGGTCATACGGGTGGTCCTTGGATGGAATCTCAAGTAGCGAGGGAAAGGCGGCGGTGTAACTCTCAACACGGTGTCGTATCCTCTCGGCAATCTAGCGCTGGTCAGCCTGCTGCTGCACCTAACTTTGCAATCGCATAATACAGCCACATGCTCGCAAATGGCCGGCGACCCAACGTACATGCTGATTGATAAGGAGAATGGCAATGTCCTTGCGCTCGTTGGTGAAGCGATCGAAGGCAGCTTCGATAGCAGACGTCTCGGTCTTGCCGTCCACAACCAAAAAGTTCTTCTGGCTATCTGGCGGCTGGGTAACGTGCTGTACCATTCATCAGTCTTTTACTCCATTGTGACATCCGGAGAGAGCTATAGCATACGCCTACGCCCGCGAGCAACATGCCCGTGCAAGTGTCCTGCAAACAGTCAGTCAGCTTCCCCGAGACACCCCGTCAAAGGGCGCATGATGTACACACCTCATCGCCGATAACGGCGAGGAACTGTCTGTCCTTGTATTGCGCTGCCGGTGCTGCCATGGCGGGATGTGTTTGGAGGGCAGCTGTGGTGAGGTCGGAGCTTGGCTGGGGAAGCTGCACGCCGTCGTCATGGGGCCCTAGTCCGTGTTTGGCCAAATGTTTTGGGCCCTTATTCCGACTTCTTTCTCCCTCCTCCTTTCACCACAAACCAGAAAGCCATGTCGTGACACTCGACGCCACTTCACACTCCTTTTACTTCTTCATCTTCTTTTCCCGGCCTGCGATACCTCAGCGCCGCTACTATAGTAATACTTCTTCAGCCACCATGCCCCGTCTCGTGCGCCGCGCGCCGCTCGCCGAACGCATCAAAGCATACACCGACCCTTCCGACTGGCTCATCTGGATCTCGGAAGAACTCAACAGCTCTGACTGGGAAGACTTTGCGTCTTCATATTCCCTCTATATCGGCTTCGGCGCGAATCTACTCTTTGTCCTCGCGCAGGCAAATAGCGGCGCATCCGCCGCCTCGGATGATGACGGTGTTTTCAACGAAGTTGAAGGTCCCGGATGGCTCAAATCAACACTGAGTCTGTTGGTCATGGTTTTGGGTGGAATAAGCTTCGTAAATGCATGGCTCGTTTGGGGAAAGAGACGGTACTACCGCCTGTTTGAACAAAAAGTCGATGTAGCGCCGCGGACGCCCAGCGCGAAGCGCGTTCGCGTTGACTCATCTCCAGCTGCTGCGAGTCCCATGCAGTTTGTGAGAAATCTGGTACAAAACAATGCTGCGGACAGGGCGCATCCCATTGAGGGCCGAGATGTCTGGGAGGTCGCGGTTTGGGACCCCAACCCGCTATGCCTAAAGCTGTTTTGCCTCTTTAGCCCTCTTCATGTGGTACTCTATTTCCTCAACCTACCTGTTGGCCCCTTGGATCCGAGCCCGAGTGTTAGGGTCACAACAACTATTCTGATCGGAGCGGTGTTGTCGCTACAGCTGTGGTGGCTACAAAGCTCCTTTTGTCAACAGATCAAAGACAATGCTCTGATCAGTCGCCAAGTGCTTCACGAGTACGATAGCAAGTTTGTGCACCCGTCGTTGCAGAAGCCATGTAGGGATGTGGGCGTCCAGACCATTTCGAAGAACCGGAATCTAGATTCAAGCGTCGGTGTGAAGGGCAGCAGTGATGACCTGGCGAGCGAGATTGTTACCTACACGCCCAAGACTGTCATCAATCGCACTTTCCGCACAAACCCGAATGCCAGCTACGCCTCACAGTACGATCCCGATAACGCTCGCTCCACCTCGAACACGCCTTCACTTCGCCGACGAGACAGCAACCCACAATACGCAACCACATCTACAGGAACTGATGCTGATATCTTTTCTCCTATCCGTTCCTCGCAACCACCAAACCCCTTCCGCCAAGCCCCCACCATATCCCGAAACAACATTGACACCAAAGTCAACGACGGAGGATATCTCGGGATTAACACACATGCTGCATCTCCGCTAAGGAAATCTACTAGCGCGGCCTTTGGGAGGGATGGTGAGCGGAGCGCGAATCGAGGAAGGGATAGTCTTGGCGGTGCATTTGAGCGGAGAGCTAGCCCGAGTAAGAAGGACGTTAGTCCATTGAAGCGGATTAGTTTAGGTAATGCGGAGAGGGAACGTAGTGAGCGATCACTAGGTCAGACGGATAGACTTGGTAGGAGTACTGGATTTGGTGGGTTGAACCTAAGTAAGAGAGAGGGTGGACGCTATTGAAGTTTAGAAATGGAAATGCATATCTATGGAATTCTTTTGTTTTGTTTGTTTTGAATAACTGGCAAGATGGGTATGCCAATAAGTTTGCGTTTATTCCCATTTTCAGGCGTTTCTGTTTTTGTTTTGTTCTAACTGGGATCTATATATCCATCATGCCACAATCACCTCATTAAATGTCGCCATGTCGGGCACTTTCTAGTACTGTATACCTCTCACTCACCATACGAGATCGTCGCATCCTCGCCTTTAAACAAACACCATCAACGTTACACTACAATCTATAACCCTCCCCTTCACAAAACCCCTCATCAAGACATTCATATATGCGTGAACGAATGATAAACCCCCCCTCTTCCAACCCCACCCCTACCCCTCCTGTCAACCTATCCGATCCGATCCAATCACATGTCGCAAACACAAAGACGGGCGATCGGAGATGGGGGGAAAAAATGGGTTGACACGATTGGACTAAGCCGGCCCGTTTAACGGTTAGCGAGGGAAAAAAAAGCACAGACGCTTGGTGTGGGGGTGTGGAGTGGGGAAGACCCTGGTTCGCATATATCGAGTTTAAATGAAGGCTGCGATAAGGAAAGAGATGGCTTGACGTGTGCGTGGCGATGTTGAGATGGATAGGGGGGGTTGGGGTTGGTTATGAACGAGTTGAAAGATATTGGTGAGGAGGATAGAGACTGGACTTGATGGGACTTTTTCTTTGTATTGGATTATCTGCTGTTTTTGTGAGGGGGGGGGGGGGAAGGGGCCAGCTGAGTGTGTAATGCCTAAGCTAGTCTTAGTACGGTAATACTGGCTGCTATAAGTTAGTTTAGTAGTAGCGAAATCGGAAGACTATCAAAAAAAAAGCCGTTAAGTGGGGTAAAAGTGTCAAAGGCACCGAAAATCTCACTGAAATATCAAGTCATGCATAGAGCAAGACGATGTTTTTTTTCAACACACAGTTTGATTTCCTCAGCTATACAAAGGAAAAATAAAGCTACTGACAAAAAAAATTAATCGTGGGAGGCTAGACCTATTTACAAGAAGCCGTCACCGAAATTAAGGAGGGAGAAGAGGTAAAGTTAAAACAAAAGCAAAATCCATCATCGCCGTTTCCCTCCCATCTTCAGGGCCTCCCCCATACCATACTCATAAACACCATTGCTCTTTTCATATCCAAAGTCGACTGTTTCCAAATCATATCCAACTCGCTTTCAGTCTGTCTCTTGCCCAAAGCCAAAAGACGTACACGCTTAAGCGTTCTGGTCGATGAAGCTGCGGAGGGTGCCGACGCGGGAGTAGACACCGGGAAGGTTGGGGCGAGCGCAGCCGCTTCCCCAGGAGACGATACCGATGAGGGTCTTGTTGGCATCGACGAGAGGGCCGCCAGAGTCACCCTGGCAAGAGTCGCGACCACCAGCAGTGACACCAGCGCAGACCATGTTGGTGGTAACGGTGAGGGAGCCGTAGTTGGCAATGCAGGTGTTGCGGGCCACAATGGGGACGCTGACCTTGAGGAGAGTAGTCGAGGCGCTGCCACCCTCACGGGTAGCTCCCCATCCAGCAACGGAGGCAGTGGATCCACTAGCGGGGTCAGAGCCAGAGGCGGCGAGGGTAGCAAAGCCAACGTTGCCACCGGCAGTGACGGTGCTAGAGAGCTTCCAGATGGCAACGTCGTTGTTAGAGGTGCTCGCCGCGTAGCTGGGGTGGAGGACGATGCGGGAGACGCGGACGACAGTGCCGCCAGAGTTGGAGCTCTGTTTGGAACTTGTGTTAGTACTCTATCCACCGGAAAAAAAGAGAGACTATATCAGATGAATGGACTTACCAAAGAGCCGACACGGACAGCGGTGTTGGAGACGGAGCCAATGGCGCTGCTGACGGAGCAGTGGGCAGCGGTAACAACGGTGTTGCCGTTGATGAGGGTACCACCGCAGATGTGGCGGCCACCGGCCTGGAGAGAGACGATGAAGGGGTATTCACCGGCAGCAGCGGTGGTTCCACCAACAATGGACTCCTCAGGAACATCATCCCACTGGGGAGTAGGAGCGGAGAGGACGAGCGCAGGAAGCGCAGCAGCGATCATAGACTGGAAACGCATGGTGAATGATGGGCTTTGCAAAGGCAGCGACTGTTGGAGAGAAGCGATGGAATGGTTTGAAGAGTGAAGCGACTGGATGAGCTGGCTGATGATGATTACAGAGGGCAGATTGCTGGATACTTATAGAGAACGTCGTCGTCGGTCATTGACACTCCAATGGTTGTGTAGATGCTAGAAGGCCGACCTTGTCATGGCGTGCTTTAGGGTATACCAAGACTGATCTACTAGGAGTATGATTTGTCCTTCCAGTTTGGGACCTATTATGGCTTGGCAAAGTCTTAACCTGTAGTCCGCCGTGTGCCTTAGATCAAGCAGTGGGGACCAATTACCCCGAGCCTAGCAGCTGTCTTATCTACGCGCAGTTTAAGCTTTTCCCAATGGATTCCATGCGTCGAGGCCAAAAGAGGCAGCTGATCCAGGCGGTTGCTCCCGAATGCTAGGGTCACGGGCGTGTTGTGCGTCACAGTTGCAGGCTGCACGCCGTGCGTCTCCGGGCGTCGTTGTTGCTTTTCTGCCACGGCTGGTAGAGGACAGCTACGCACAGTAGTCTACATGGTGTTTGGACAAGTCTGCCACGGGCAATTGCAGCGTGTCAGGTGGCTATGATTACAGCTGCCGGATAGCGGTAGCGCTCCAATGCTACGCTGTGCCCGAGAGAGCAGGAGATGGATGTTTTGCATTGCCTGCCAAGGGAGTACACAGTTCGTATTCCCATCTCAACATCCCGACACAGTAAGGCACCGTCTAGGCGATCTCCAGCGGGGGTTGGTGAGCGCATTTTGCCACATCATGCGCGGATACCGAAGAAAAAGCATCGACGGGGATTCTGTGACATTTGGCCATGGACGAACCACCATGCAAGCTGTATATTGGCCGACATGATAGGCAGGGGACTCGGGTGGACTCGAGTGGCCTACGGGCTCTGTATGCCCCAAGTCAAAAGCAAGGCAGAGGAAACGACCTGCCACAAGGGATTCGCTTGCAGGGCCCGCTGGCGAGCAGGCATGGGCGTGGGCTTGGCAGTTGCCGGATACAGATGGCCGTTGGTCGGAGGCGCGCAAGATTGCAGGGCTGATTGGGAGAGATGGCGAGGTTGACATGGCCGGATGGGAGCCAGGAGAGGCAGGAGGACGGTGGGAACAAAGTAGAGGGCGGAGCCTCGCGGCTTGGCAGTGGGCGCGTGAGCCGGGGATACACCCCCAACGCAGCACTGATCATCGCAACGGCGCCTACTGTGTACTGCCCCCCAGGTCCCCTTTGCTCGAATACCCCAAAAGTAGTATGCTGATCGAAGTATCTACTACCACGCCCGCGTATGTACCTACATTCGTAGAACAATCCCTCCGGCAAAACACATTGCCCTGACAGCGCCGAGACCCGGCAGCCGGCAGGCGGTACCGCTGCGACGTTTTACTCACGGTACGCCGCTCGATAACGTCACTGGACATCAGCCGGCTGCCTATTGCTTTTTGGCTTTGGCATCGTGTCTCATGGCTTGCATTGGCTTGTCTGGGGAACATAACCGTCGCATGCAGGTGGCAACACTGTCCTCAGCCGCATCCAGTATTTGTCCGTATGCGTACCTGCGCTGTTCCATGCTGTTCCATCGTCTCCATCTCCTATAGAGTAGAAGTACTGTAGCATACGAGCTTGTTGCATCAAGGTCGCCGCCCCCCGCCCTCCGCCAGCCCACCATCCACTACTAGCAAACACCACCCCACTCCACCTCTCTCAGCCAACACCCACGAATGCGCCCCGAAGCAAACCAACGCCGCACGTTAATTTGGGTCGTCGGAATACTCTGCCTGATTCTGATCTCGCTGCATCTTTACGCTGCAAAAGCAATGGACTCGCTCCCCGCCCCCTTCGCCATCGAAATCGACGGCAGTCCCATCTCCAAGCCCGCCTCGGACTCCCAAGACCAGACCCATGCATCCACCGGTGCGGAGCCTGCCGTCTTCGAGCTCAAGAACAAGCGTCTTCAGTGCGACGGCCATGTCCTTGCCCGAGCTTTGGCCGAAGATCGCAGCTTTGGCCCAAAGAAAGTATGGTGGTTCAAAGCCGACACGGCCACCCCGATGTACGATGTCGTTGCCAACAAAGACGGTGACTCGTACCAGCTCCAGTTTTCAGGTATGCGTGTATTCTGCTGTGGCGGTGCAAACTATCGCCCTTTTCTTCCCAAGCCCCGGCTAATAATAAGCAGGCGCTGGCTTAATGGCGCAAAGTGGAAATGTTTATGCGGACCTTATGGGGGGTGAGTCGTGTGCATTTCAATACATGTGAAACCAGGTACTGACTCCTTCAACAGACAGCAGCGCCAAAGTGGTCCTCAAGATGCAGTCTTGACTTTGTTCCTTTCTGCCCGCTACCGGCGCTTCCCCGTCTTTTTGCAATGTCACATGGCGCCTTGTAGAGTGCCTGTGCTTGGCCACGTACATACGCATGTAGTACCTTCTTTGAATGCCATAGTGCGGTACGAGTGACGTACTTCTCCTTGCGCGTACCACCAAAGAACTCCTCGAGAAAAAGAAAACAGGACAACTAATACTGATTGCTTTTGTCTTTCTTTTGTGTGTTTCAGTTTGTTGTTCATATACACGTGCACGTGAACCCTTTCTTCATGTTGCAGATAGATCGATCGGAAAATCGATACTCCGCAGATGAGATCGGTCTCATAAAACAAAAGCTACTAAAAAAGCGCTCGGCCAAATTTTGCATAATATTAGTTTTCCGCGAATGACGCAAACAATGCATTGCCAAGCCGGGTTCTGTACTAATGTGTTGTCAATACTGTAAGTTTTCATCTTGTTGTTTTTTACTTTCTCCTCGTAATTATGGCCCCTGTTCCTGGTGGAGACATGACCGACTGCACCTTCCTTTTCCATGTGAAATTTTACGGCCGTTAAAAGTATGAAATACAGTGACACCTGGGTGTAATGGCTTTCGTATGGCGCATGTCGCCATGGCCGCACCTACATATGATCATTGTTGCAAGTCCTAGACAATCAGCACATAGCCACCATCTCGAATCCAAGCCTAGACTCAGGAGTAATCGGTACCAAATCTTATGGCCCATTTGATCTCCTCTAATCCCAACCTTGCTGTATATTCCCTGACATGGACATCACTATGCCCCCAGGACGCCTTCATCCAGTCAGGCGCCTGGTTCTCCTTGAGAACAATCCGGACAAACTCCATGCCCGGCGTGCGGTCCATGATTTGCAGCCGCACTTGCGTAATTATGTGATGCTTGATATATCGAATCCAAGTCGCGTTGGGGTTGTGAATGAATGCTGATACAGCGTTTCGGTCTTCTGCAGTGACTCTGGGATGTCCTGAAACAAGATCAAACGTGTACGTGGGAAAGCGCAGGTGAAATTTGATTACCGGGAGTATGTCTGTACCGACCAGCGAGTCTATATTCAGCCAAATCCTCAAAGTACCGCTAGGATGGTGATAGCGTGCAACGCGTTGTCTGATTTCATCGCTTGCTTGGTTTGCCCGGAATGGAGGAGGGAAAAACGCTTTGAAGTATTCACATAGGGCGAACAAAGGGAAGCGATGTGTCGACAACCAGAGTGGGCGGAACTCCATTCTGATAAGTGTACAGGTTTGTGTCAGGCCGATGAAGGGGAGAGGTCTGTGAGGAGGTCGCCGGACTTCATGGTCGGGTCGTAGGCCCCTGCGCCGAAATGTCATCGACTTTGAATATGTGTTTGGGAATGTCCGCGTGCTTATTTCTGTAAGAACCTCGTAAATGCGATTTCGAATTTCTGACTACTGTTAGCATTTTCGAGACTGAACAAATCACGTGCTACTTACCTCCTGGCAAATCCAAGAATCTGAAGATTTGGCTTGAATCCATAGCCTGCGTTTGCTCTGATATTCCAGCCTCTACTGTGGCTTTCCCTGTACAATCTGAGATAGGCGTGTTGATTTTTGGGCGCTTGTCGGGATACTTTTCTAAGACCTCTTGTGCAGGGCGTTTCTTGTTTGCTGTTGCAGTCGGTTTCTCGAACCCTTTCTGGGGCCTTGAACTCGCAAATTAGCAATTAGCAGTTACAATATAATAGAGCCACTTGAATGTTTTGATCATACTCACATTTCGATGACAAGACCGACGGTTGTTGTAGAGAAGTGTGTGGAGGTGGTTCAAAGGAGGCTGGATGTTGGCGCATAGGTGCGTCGGTTGAGTGCTAGCGTTGGACCCTGACGAGACAAGAAGCGGTGGAGATGAGATCCCCTACAGGGCTGCTGCCTAAGTCGATCGTACCTATTGGTCAAGAAAGTATCATGCTTTAGTTGGACAGCTCTCATTGGCTGGGCAACACAAAGTCTTGAAAGTTTAAAAGTACCAAAACCACCACACTGTTTGGAAATACGAGAACACGGTGGGAGTCGATTTCCCTACTAATGCTGCTGTTGTTTGGAGCTAAAAACAGCTTGCCATACACCGTTTTGGATATGATGAGTTGTTCATACGAGCAAAGGCGCTAACTCGGGAAGATAATGCCTAATGAGGCCAGCAAACGCAACATCATTGGATAGACAGCAAAAAAACTATCACTTCAGCAATCGGGTTTGGTCAGGGATGTTGTTTAAGTAATATTCACAGGCATTGGATGCTGTTGCTATTCGCTTCAAGCCACCGTAATATCCCCCGGCATCGTAACTAGCCAGTTCTCCCAAAATCTGAACCCGTCAATTCCCTGCTCTCGACAGAGTGCACCCGCTTCCTCAGCCATTTCCAGCTCCTCTGTCGCGACACCAACACTCCAACCAAATCTTTCAGCTGTCTCTTGCGCTGTTACGCCCCTACCGAATGTCTGCCAATCCCATGTGACCTCCATGCTGGGAGGCTCTTGGTGAAAAGTCTTGAACCAAGCCAGGAGACTGGCAATAGTTTTCTCGTCAGTGCGATCACGCCCTTGTACGACTAGAAGACCACTCTTGAATTGCCTTAGGCGCACTGGCAATTTCAACGTATCCCACATGCGTGCTGCCTTCTCAAAATCTGAGGGACTAACAAGCTCCACACCGCCCCTTGCACGATTGAAGACAGCCCAAAGATCCACAAGTGTCATGATGCCACCTTCTTTTCGCAGGATACCATGCGTGTCATCGGTAAGCCACTCGGCCAGATTTCTCGAAAGCTCCGACACATACAGTGACTCAGAACCTGACCCAGAACCAAGCATGTCCTTTGTCGTAATCAGACCCAGTGCAGACGCCGACTGAGATGCTAACGCGTTTGCCTCAGAGCTGCTATTAGTGCCCAAGTTGGCCTGTGATGCAAATTGTTCTGCAAGAGCGATAATCTCTTTTGCTGATGTCATCAAAGCCTCAAGGTCCTCAAAGGCGCTGCCTATCATGGCCTCGTTGTTCTGTCTCTGCTCTAATCCGCGTCGCTCCAAACCCGCAATACCAACAACTCGGGGTCGTTCAGGCTCTACAGACGAAGCGTCAGATTGTATGGTGTAGCCATCGTCAGCTAAAACAGAGGCTAATCGTGGCTTAGGGATTGGCGGGGCACTTTGAAGGAGCCATTTGCGCTGCACCAGTGCATTCTTCAGGCGCTCGTAAAATATAGGACCCCCACCAGCACGGAAAGATAGCTTGATGCATTCAATGGTGTCGGACTGTAACGGTGACGAGAGTGTTGGGCCTGGAGATTGGGACCTGGTGGGCTCCTGGAGCATGTCGAAGCGCTTGTCTACAGCAGTTGTCAGGGATGCACCGCAAATCTCGCAATTGAGGAGAGAAGGATGGTTCTGGTAGGTGCAACGAGGACATGCCGATGGCGATGTTGTGGAAGCCGAAAGAGGAGGAGGAGTTCCATTCTTCACATCTTTCGGAGGCGGGCCAGGGGCTGGTCGATTCGACATGGCCGCTATGGCTGCTTTGACGACATGTACAGTCGGCGGCTTTATTCCGCAAGCCAGACAGGGAGGTATGGGTGCGCGAGATGCGAGAGCGGGATCGAAGTTGGAAGGCACAGGGTTGGAGAAGGAGCATATCGGGCATACCCATGTTGCGCTCGCAGGAGGTGGAGGCGCGGGGCTGCTGTGCCGCGGCGGAGTAGAGGAGGACGAGGCGGTTGGCGTGGGAGCCAAAGGAGCACCTCGCGATAGCTGCTTCAAGGGCTTCGGGTAGAGAGTTACCTTGGGCGACGACTTGAGAAAGCCAGCCTATATTATTGTTAGTCCTGGTGGTGTCCGAGGAGCAAGCCATATCCAACGTACATAGAACTCTGGTTTCTCGACGTCTTTCAGGAAGATGGCAACGGAATTCTTGCGCGGCTCATTGTGATCGACATAGCAGACGCGGTGTGAGGTAAGATACGATTGCCCGTTTTGATACTCGGGTATCTTGAACTTCCTGTTCACATGTTCAGCAGCAGCAGATGAGCGCCATGTAGGGATACGCGTACCCCTCGTAGAGCCCTACGGCATCTTGGACAAAAAGCAGCGTCTCCTCCGGCAGGAGCGACGGGCGCAGTGCGGTGGTGAGGTCGAGCTGGTGCAGGAACATTCAGACCATTTGTAAGTGAGCGTATGCAAGATACGGCCATGGCACTCACATCGGGCGTCGTTTGACCTAATGCCCATCCCCCCCAGTCCGGCAAGTCGTCATATCCCCGACGCTAAGCTCATCGCGGTTAGCACTATCCCAGCGGCCGCCAAGCAACAGCACCGTGCAAATCATTGTCGTCGGGTCGTCGCCTCGCCTCACCTTCATTCACCCACGCCCACCCCCATTTCCACACCCACGTACTATATCTCCGCCGTCGTGCACCACATTGATCCATCTTCTCCAACTCCACTGTGCACATACTCACTCTGCAGCCTTCTTTTCGTCGCCCCTGTTTCCCTTGCTCCCCTGTTCCATGTCCCTGCCCTCTGCCACTGTTGCGTGGGCGCGACCGATGCAGTCACCCGCCTACAACACCGTCACCCCTCGAACCACACTCCAGCCTGCCGCTCCACCCGCGTCTGTTAGTCTTCACACTCCTCTGGCGACTTGTGCCTCCGCTCACACACGCCCACAGTCTGCCATGGCTCCTGAGCAGCCCAAGAAGAAAGTTGAGTGGCCGCCTGCCGTACGCGAGTACGTCCGACGTGCTTTCGACCCCGCCAACGCGATTCCGGGCATCTCGCAAGCAGACATGCAGGCAAGACTCAAGGAGACCATCGGCTACTTCGCTGAGCGCAACTCACATGACAACGTACATTGGCCTACCTTTCCCCTGCCTCAGGAGCTTCTTCTCGAGGAACGGAGGGCGGCGCTCAACGCATCTGCCAATGGCTTCGCGAACGGCATGCAACCTACATACGTAAATGGCATTGTCGACCACACTAACCAGAACACACCCCTTTCCAAAAAGCGCAATGCTCACGACGCTGAAGAAGTACCAGCCGAACAAGCGCAAGCCAGCGTCCCACCATGGCGCAAAACTAACCTAGCATCTCGAATGACCTATGCCGATGGACACAGCGAAAAGCGCCAAAAGAAGAACGCATTTACGGAGGCCGTAAGTAAGTTAGACCAGACTGAGCTTGACAAGCGACGACAACGCTTTCAGCTCGGCAACAACGGCCCGAAATCAACGCTAGCCTGGGGCTCGTCACGCAAAGACGAAGATGAAATGCCTACCGGACCTGTAGTCGGAACCAACGAGAACCTTGAGAAGAGCTATTTCCGTCTGACTGCACCACCGAAAGCTGAAACCGTGCGCCCCCTGCATGTGCTCAAGAAGACATTGGCCATGCTTGTGGAGAAATGGAAAGCAGAAAAGAATTACAATTACATTTGTAACCAGTTCAAGTCACTGCGCCAGGATCTGACTGTTCAACATATCAAGAATGCCTTTACGGTCAAGGTGTACGAGATCCATGCGCGGATCTCATTAGAAAAGGGGGATTTGGGTGAGTATAACCAGTGCCAGACACAGCTCAAGGCATTGTATGCGCAGAATCTGGGGGGCAACCCAGCTGAGTTCAAGGCGTACCGCATTCTCTATTTTGTGTATACGTGCAATAAGACCGACATGAACGACATGCTGGCAGAATTAACCCTCGCAGACAAAGCACATCCATGGATCAAGCATGCACTTGACGTCCGATCATCACTTGCCCTTGGCAACTACCACAAGTTCTTCCGACTTTACCTCGAAGCCCAGAACATGGGCGCTTACCTCATGGACATGTTTGTTGAGCGTGAGCGCCTTAGTGCTTTAGCTAACATTTCTCGCGGGTAAGTTTAATGATTGTGCTTCAGGGGTTGCATCATGTTTTACTAACAGGGTGGGTAGATACGTAAATGTTTCTCTTCGTTTCCTGACTGATGAGCTTGGTTTCGACAATGATGCATCTTGCCGTGAATTTCTCGAAACGCACGGTGCGCAAAACACTATTGAAGACAAGGGCGATCGCCAGTATCGGGTCAGGATCCGCGAGGTCGCATCGCAAATCGAGAGTCTCCGTGCCGCGGCATTCAGCAAAGTAGACATCAAAGGACAAATATGAGTCGACTCGAGCGCAAGCAGTGCTTGCCGTCGTCAGCTGCACCCTTTTGATTACGAATTTCCCCCGATTGCTCTACATATATCCACTACTACTACTACTACTACTAATTTGTATACTTATGGTTTTTTTTCTCATGCCTGGCGCCACGTGTGTCGTGGGGATTGCAGTGGCGGTAGAAAAGGTGCCGCCTGAAGCGGCGAGTTTGGGTGTTATTTGGGTGTGTGATGGCTATCTATGTGTCGTCGGGATGCGGGAGAGCCGTTCCATGCGCTAGATGCAAGGAAGTTTCTAGATGCTTTCTTTCTGTTACGGCCAAAGTTTCAGACGTGCTCCTGACTAGCCATGTTTTCTTAGTCGGGAAACGGGAGACGTCATTGGCGCCAATGGAAAAGGTGGAATCGGGAATAAGATTGCGGGAAGAGAGGAGAAGAGGGGATGAGGGGATGAGGGGGACGAGGGTGTTGCTGACTGCAGGACTGCTCGAAGCGTTTGTCTCAGCGGCAGGTTGCAGTGGGTGGAGGCCGACGGGATGATCGAGGGCAGCTTCGGACTGTACCGGTGATCGACAGCCACTGCATCGGGATTGCAGGCACAGGCACAGACACAGGCAGCGTGTGGAACTGGCAGGGTTGTGAGCATTTGAGTTTGCTGTGGCCAGGAGAGCTTTTCTGTGGGACGAGAAGTTGCAGGCGCTGGGGCTTGGCCAATGAGGGGGCGAGATGGATGTTTTGGCCTTTGATTCGGCCAGGCACAGGTGTCGAATGGTTGACGCTAGCTGCAGGCTCTCGCTCTTGTTGCAAACGGGCAGAGGGAATGTTTGGTAGACAGCAGGCAGTAATGCATTGGTTGATGAGGAGCGTGTTTGGTATGCGAGGACGAGGGTGTGGTGATGCTATAGGGCTTTGTGGGGACGTTGATCAAAAGCACCGAATGTGGGTGTGGGTTCGCATGGGCACAATGACATGTTCATGCAACGCCGCACGAAGAAGCAAGGGAGGCTTTCCAACACGGGCGCGCCGGGCCCATGATTGGGCGTTTTGTGGACCTGCAGCCCGGCAGCCCGACGTTTGGCAGACAGCATGGCGTAGGCCCTGGGATCCCTTGGGGCTCGTAGCCAGCCGTAGCCAGCCAAAGCCACCCATAGCCCACCCATACACAGCCATCCTACACAGCCATGCCAGGTCACATGGCGTGCTGGCCTACTGCCGCCCTGGCTCCGTGTCGTCAGTGGCCACCAGCAGCGCAAATATACCGTGTAGTGTACACACCTACTACCTATCTATCCATGTACGTGCGTACAGACAGGGCCCCGTCCACCCATCCAGTCCAATCCAAGCCAGTCCACTCCACATGGACCAGCAGGAAAAAAAAGAGGGCAACCCTCGAGGCCTAGAGAGCCGTCTGCCAAGTCTCAGGTAGTGCAGGGCTGGGATCCCTTCGCCGTGAAAGCACCCACTCATTCCCTAAACTTTTGGCTATCCGCGCATCTTCTTGTCTGTACCTGACGACAATCACCGTGCACCTGCCCCAGACGTTTTCCCTTTACCCTTTGTCTTTTGCTTGTCGTCACAGACTTGGACTGCACGACTCGGCCTGTCCTTCACCCGCCGCCCACTCGCCCCCGCACACGCCGCATCCCCGGTCGACAGTCATACACTCGTAGCCAGTCGGAGCCCCAAAGTTCCTGACACCTCCTGACTGCTCCTCACGGCACAACGCTTCCGCGTCTTCTGCGCATCCTCTCCTCCTCGTCCGCACCCCAAGATGAAGGTGAGTTTCTCTGCCTTTTTTGCTTTTTCCGCCACACAGGTCCCCGCGCCTGCACCGTCTGCACCGCCTGCACCGGCGCCTGCACCGGCGCTGGGGGCATTGGCCGAGTCAAGGCGCGCATACATGCTAACGGTATTCTCTATCTAGTTCCGCAGGAGTGTAAAGAGCGAAAAGGACACCCGCCCGCACCACATCTCGATTCCACCAAAGGATGCCATAGCCATTGTGCCGCCCAAGAAGGTACGTACCACCAAGCACAATGCACACACACACACATACACGTCGCCAAACGTGACTGCCGATTGCCTCGACACTCACTCGCTGTTGCCTGTGCGGGTGCGGTGACCGAGGCCAACGCGGCCCTCTTGGGCTGCAGTCGTTGCGCGCAGGACCATCGACAGCCAGCCCTGCGCCCAAGACGTTCAAGCCGCTCGACGTTCGCCATTGCTCCAGGCGCTTTGTCCTGGTACCCGCTTCCCGATAGGGCAGAGGAGCGCGAAGCTAACGGCGATCTCATTTCAGGTCATAAAAGCCCTATACGACTACACGCCCACAGATACCAGCCCAAACTCCGTCTACCTTGCCTTTTCCCAAGGCGACTTTCTGCACGTTGTCGGGCGTGAGGACGATAGCGACTGGTACGAAGCCTGCAACCCGCTGCACGGCACCCGCGGCCTTGTTCCCGTCTCATACTTTGAGGGCGTAGGCAAGACAGTGCGCGACAGTGCAGGCGCCCCCCCAGTGCCTCGCGCCACAACACAACAACCGCACGATTCCGGCTACCAAGAGCGCATCACGAGCCCGCAACCCTCTACCCAGGACATTATGACGCAGCAGATGCGCATGTCGCGCTCGGGAAAGACAGGCGCCATGGTCTATGGCGTCGTTATCTACGACTTCCACGCAGAGCGGCCCGACGAGCTCGAGGCGAAAGAGGGCGAGGCCATCATCGTCATCGCCCAGTCCAACCCCGAGTGGTTTGTCGCAAAGCCCATTACCCGACTCGGCGGCCCCGGCCTGATACCCGTCTCCTTTATCGAGATCCGCGACATGACTACTGGACAAGTAGTCACCGACACGCAAGCCGCCGTGACTGCTGCTGGCGTGCCCAAGGTTGAGGAGTGGAAGAAAATGGCTGCAGACTATAAGAACGGTAGCATTCCTCTCGGCAAGCTGGAAACAAACTCGGGCCAGTCGCTGCAACAAGGCATGGAGCGTTTGAGCGTGCGCAGCCAAAATGGTGGCCACCAAAAGACCGGTTCGGTAGGTGGTGTGCACTCACCTCCCGTACACGATACTGACCCTGTGCAGATCTCCCACTCGCGCAACGGTTCCATGGCGCAGGCTCGAAATCCGCACCGCACGTCCGACAACCTGCTCGCACCTATCAAGGCATGTGTACCACGTTACTGCTTTGCTGACGATATCTTCTGGTTCATCATTGAGTGCCAAATGGAGGACGGCCGTCACTGGGAGCTGCAGCGTTTGTACCAGGATTTCTACGACCTTCAGATACAACTTATTGCCTCCTATCCCGTCGAGGCTGGTACAAGTGGCTCTGGAGAACGAACACTGCCATTTATGCCAGGCCCGGTAACCTACGTCACCGATAACATTTCCAACGGGCGCCGTGCCAACCTTGACGAGTACATCAAGAACCTGCTCAAACTAGGCCCCCACATTACCCAGGGACACCTTGTCAAGGGTTTCTTTGCCCCACGACAAGGCGACTACGAAATCGATCCCGACGTTGTCGCTGCTGAAGAATACCGTTTGTCTCAGCAGTCACACCACTCATCAACCCCCTCACATGGAGGAGCCAGCAGACAATCGTCTGCCGATCAACTTCAAGCCACAACCCCAGTGACTCCTTTCTCGACTGGCTCAACCTATGCCTCGCACCAACGTGGTCCGTCGACAGCCTCGCAAGCATACTCGACGAATCTCAATCCACCGCCTATGAATCACTCACACTCGTCCGTCTCGACCGCCACTGGCACTGGTACGTCGGCGCTCAAGATCAAAGTATGGTTCGAGGAAGACAATTGTGTCGTCATTCGCATGCCCATATCACTCAAGTTTGTTGACCTCTACAACAAGCTTGTGGAGAGGAGGAAGCTAGAGCGGCCTGGCGAGGAAGAGGAGGAGCTGATTGTCGAGTACAAGGACGAGCAAGAAAATTACTTTTACCCGATTGAGAATGATGAGGACCTGCAGATCGCAGTGGAGCGTAATCCCAAGCTAACACTTAGTGTTACAACAAGGCGGTAATGATGGAGCAAATGGTAAGACTTGGCGTTTCTTCTTCTTCTTCTTCTTCTTCTTCTTCTTCTTCTTCTTCTTCTTCTTCTTCTAATTCCCCTAACTTTTATTTCCTTTCGTGTATGGTAGCCCGTGCCATTGAGCAGTGGCTACCTTGGTCCGGCTACCTTGATCCTTCTACCTTGATCCCTGTCTTTTCCTTTGTTTTTTTCCTTTGTTCTTGTTGCTTTCGGAGTTGCATAAGGGTCCATAGCTCGGGTGCGAACAGGTGTTTGCGGAGTCTGTGGGGCATTAAGTGCATGACGGCAAGCGGGTTCCTTTCGTTTCGACCAGTCTTTTTGGTTTGGTCTGCAACCATTTCATCGACACAGAGAGGAGGTGTTGAGGCTAGATTATATGAGGGTGGGCTTTGAATTGAGCAACATGTGGTGGATGAGCAATGATGGGGAGGCGAGGGAATGATCAAAATGGGTTATCTATCCATTAGGTGTATTTGAAAAATTTCACTCCACTCGAGTACTATATGTGTGACGGTGATGATGTTCTTTCTGAGAAGTGGGGAGCGGTGCACGTTGGTCGAGTATTGTAGTCCAAACATGGGCGTGGGGTGCCGTACACATGCCTCAGCCGATACTAGCCATGAGTTCCGAGCTTGCGGTTTGACAGAGAATCGAATTGCTGCAGGTTGCGACATAGCTGGCCAATGATTGCGCAGAGAGGCCGATTCGGGAGGCTCTGCTCCGACGTCGGTGTTTGGAGTCCGGTGCGGATTCAATGTCGGGCACCGCTTAGACCCAGATGTGTTCGTCAGTGGCTGTTCTTCCAAATCCCGCAACCTATTCACAACTCTCTGTCTACTGCAGCTCTCACGCTCCGTGAGATTCTGCCTGCTCCTCCTGCACCACACGGCCGCCTGTTACAAGGCCTCACGAGCGAAGACCCACAACCGGATCGTCTACCAAGGCCTTCACATGCAGCACAGAAAGAGAGAGTTTGCCAATAACTGGGGGAAGCTGCAATGGGGGAGGAACAAGCCAGCGGTGTGAAGACACCTGTCGCCACGGAGACTCTATCCCAAGCCACCGTACCAAAAGTCGCAAGCCCTTCGATTGCGATTCCCAGACCAAAACTCCCAGTGCCGAGTATGCGCACGCCGACGACGACGTCGCCCATAGATACGCCGCGCAAATGGAACACAGCGAAGCTGGGCATGCGCGTGGGCGCCGATGCCCTCTCAGCTGGCGCGGCAGGCATCTTGGTCGCTCCAATCATTACCATGATAGACAAAGGCATCATCGAGAACGCCAGCGGCAGAAACACACTAGGCGACAGCCTCAAGCAAAGCCTCACACAACTCGTCTCAAAACCGCACCGCTTCCTCTCCAGCAAGCCCTTCGCCCTAATCTTCAGCCTCTACTTCGGCACCTACCTCACCGCCAACACCATTGACACCGCATCCGCAACGCTCAAGCCCACTCAGCCCTTGCAACAGCAAACTAGCGGCACCAGCAAATTCGTCGCTACCAGCTCCGCGAATCTCGCACTTTGTCTGTACAAAGATAATCAATTCACCCGCCTCTTCGCCGCACCAGGCTCCTCTCCTCGCCCCGTGCCCCTCCCTACCTTTGCCTTATTCACTGTTCGCGACTGCCTCACCATCTTTGCTAGTTTCAACCTCCCGCCGCTCCTCGCGCCCGCGCTGCAGGAGCGTATGAGCGACCAGGTAAGCAAGTACGTGGGTGCGCTTAGTGTAGCGCAGTTTGTTACCCCTGCTGCGGTGCAGCTTGTTAGCACGCCGTTGCATTTGCTCGGCCTCGATTTGTACAATAGGCCTGGGGTGCATGTCGGAGGTCGTGATGGGAGAGCTGCACGTGTGCTGAGAGATTGGGGGAAGAGTGCTGCGGCAAGGATTTGTAGGATTGTTCCCGCGTTTGGGGTGGGAGGGGTGGTGAATACGAAGGTCAGGAGGGGGTTGATGGGGAGGTTGGAAGATGCGTGAGGCTCATAGATGCCATTAGAGGTTATATGGATTACTTTTTCCTGGAGTTTTGAGGGGTTGGAGATATAGATGGGACATCTCTTCTCTACGGCCGAATTTGGAGGGTTTGGGTATACGTATCGCATTGCGTGGAGTTTTGGGCGTATTTGTTTTTTTAGTGGTAGTTATGGATCTAGATTTAACAATGTTTATTGTAGTATTAACATGGCTGCTATATCATTATAGTTTAGACTCGTTCAAGCTGCGTCAACCCCCGAGATGGAATTGTACTCGGTTATTGATATCTGCGTGTTTGGGTAACTGGGTGACCTGCTTACTACACCGTCCATCTCTTCAAGTAAAAGTAGGGTTTGCTAGTCAACGTACACTATTGTACTTGGTCACCTCGCGTATACTTACCATACCTTACCTAGTTTCCGAGGATCCAGTAGTGGGGCATCAGGAGTCGACGGATATGCCAGTGTGCCGCCACAATCAGCATCCGAGTTACTATATTCCTCGCCGTGTTGACGAGCAGGTACACAAGCAACCCTCCTAGCTATGCAACTTGCAAGATGAGAGCGGAACTATATCATCGTTGCCATAGACGAGTTTCTGGGGTTAAGAAAAGTTTAACCAGACTTTGATGGATTACATCTGCTTGCGGGATTGAGGGTAGTTGATATGAGTTTGGTGGGCATGTGCGAGTCAGAGGTTCAAGGAAAGCGTTTTCGATACTGCAGAGTAAGTATTGAAGAGGAAGAATAAGAGGAGGGCGTGGGTGTGAACATCGTAGAGCGAGTAGCCATGTTTGCCAGGAGAATCAGGAGAGTAGAAAAAGGGGGGGTATTCGGATAAACCCGTACATCGTATGATAACATCAGTACATATCAATCAACTTTACTTTTTTGTGGCGTATTTCACTAGTATTTAGGAAAAAAGGTATATTGCCGAATCAATGAAAAGGTAGCGTCATGACTGAGTCGACTTGGTTCATGTATCACACAGATTCGTATTGCCTCCCCATAGCCCGCCCACGTTGCAAGCCTCGATATGGGAATACATTTCGATTCCAAATCTGCCCAAAACACTGCACCAAAGCAGTAACCAAGCACATGCAGTTCCCCCTTACATATATACATGCATCTCCCTCCACCAACGCATATGTCAATCCCTTCGATCCTCCAATATCAACGCCACTTAATCCAAGGATATCCACACCCACCCATATGCATGCACGCCCCCCCCCTCCGCCTCCCCCTCACCCAAGAAAACAAGCATAAACCAACGGTGCAACAACGCATATCCACCGATCTAGCGGGTAATGAGAAAAAGGAAAAAAGGATTAAAAACGGGTGTTGACATCATCGTCGATCTGCCGTGGCCTGTTCCAGACCGCGGGGGACCTGCTTTTGGGTCGTCATGCCGGCACATGCTTTAATCTCGCTTGCGTCGCAGCCTCTTTTTTCTTCCTTGATGCGCGCTCGTCGCGAGCGGGCGCACGGGTTGGTGGGTGGGACTCGCGTGGCTTGTTACTTTAGCGAGGTGGAGTGGAAGGGGGTGGAGGAGTGGCTTTTTTTCTTCTTCTTTGCCTTATTATCCGGTTTGTCTGTGAGGGGGATGTGGGGGGGGGGGTGGAAATGGAAGGGAAACGAGAATGGAAGAGTCGAGGGAGCGGTCAAAGTGGATGGATGGGAGGTGTAAAGGAAAGGGGCAAAGTTGATGTTCATTCTTTCCCCATTTATGCATCATCAAGAATAGTATTAGTAGGGCAAGACATTAACATTTAGCTAGCGTAGTAGTTAAAAAAAAGTTACGTTACGAACGAACGAAACTACGCCTTCTCATTCCCGATAATCGCGCTGCCGCCTCCCCTGGCCTCAGCTAGCAATTGTGTGCCGACGACCTCGCCCGTAGTCTTGCTCTTGAACACGCCGGATACAGAGAATAAGCCCAAGAAAGGCTCGTAGACGTATTCCTCCTCCCACACCTCCTCGCCCTTGTAGGTAACGGACTCGTTAAAGCCGTTGAACTTCATGCTGGTCAGGTAGTTGCCGACGACGGTGCTACCGGAGATGGCACCAGAGTTATCCATGGTCTGCTCGACAATGTCACCGTTTTGAGCAAGAACACGGCGCTTGTGCGTGTTACCCTCGAAGTTGTTGACAGAGTAGAGGATGTTGTTGCGGAGGTCCCACTGGTGAAAGTCGAGGTCGCGCTTGGCTTTTGCTTGAGCGGTAGTCTGGTTGGTGCCGCTGTTTCCACCACCGCTAATGCCGTCGGCGATTCCGCCTACGGCGTCGCCTACGTCGCCGATGATTTCACCAAGACCGTTGCCGAGCTCTGCGATGACGGGGTTGAGATCGATGCTGTCAAGGACGTCGCTGACCATTGATACGAGGTTGCCTAGGCGGGCTTCGAGATAGACCTTTGCAGTCACGTTTTGGATAAGGAGCGAGACCTTGTCGATAGAGAGGTCGACGCCTGCGTTGAATTGAAGTAGCTGCAGTACTTGGGCATCGAGATTGATCTTTGCGGTGAGATTGTCGACGCCGACGAAGATCTCGCCTACGTGCACCGAGGCATTGAGAAGAACATCCGGGATGGGGTTCAGAGCAGAGATGTTGGACGAAGATGTGTTTTCCGTCTCGTACAGCACCGCAGTTGGGTCACCATCATCTCGCACGTCGAGCTTGTATCCCGTGTAGCCGTCCGCAGCGGATTGAGCGACTGCAAGCCAGGGCAGAGAAAGAAGTGTTAAGGAAGGAATAAGAGACAACCTCATCTTGACTTTGGTATGTTATAAAAGAGAGACTTGAACTGGCCGCGGAGTCGAACGTCTACTACCCACGAGAGAGGGAGAGTGGGAGAGATGGAAAGAAAAAAGCGAATGACTTTTTGCTCAGATTCAACAAGAGAAGAAACGGGGGGGGGGCGAGACCAGCGGGTTAACAACATCCCTTCCACACAATACTCGTGATGAGTTACATGCAGTAACCCATCCCGGGGCCAGCATCCATAGCATGATCGCATTACCTGCTCCACACCGTTTTTCCCCACCCGCTTGGCCCAGCCTACTACTAGTTCAAGGCAGAAGCAAAAAAAATAAGATTAAAAGGAGAATCCCAGCCAGACCGCCTCCAATTCGACGACCAGAAAATCAGGATTTTAGACGTACATGGGAATCCAAGACTTTCTAGCATGCGTTGTGCTAAGTAACTGCGGGGGGGGGGGGCACGCGCGTTCCAGATGGCGCCCGTTGTTCGTTGGTTGCGACCTTGATCGCAACCCTGCACATGGGCTGCATAGGGGGTTTTATCCGAGATTACTATAACGGGAAACCCTGGTCGTTACAACACTCGCAACCATGCATGAGCGGTAACCACCTTTTTTTTCTTGATTTTCCAGACTAAAACTGGGGGGGCGTAAGTAGGCGAAAGGGAAGGAAGCGGGTGGTGCTAGGGTGGGTGCATGGGACCAAAAGGAAAAAAGAGAAAACGGTTACTTGTATAGGACTTCTGTTCTCTCTCGCTCTCCGCTTGCTCTTCGTGGCTCTGCTTGTTCCGCTTGCTTGCTTCACCTTCTCTTTGCCTTGCCTGCCCAAGATGTCGTCATTCTCTTTCCGTCTACTGCTCATCAGCATTCTCCTTACTTTTGCTACGTTCGTTACCGCGCAGACGTCGTCGGGGGTACCTTCGACGCCTCCGCCTACAAGCAGTAATCGTCCCTCTGTCAATGGCACCACGACTAGACCCCCCGAGGTTGCGCCTACGGGAACCGACCCGCCAGATGTGCTGCTCCGCGTTCCAGAACTGCATGTAGGCCGCATTGAGTTGACTGTCGAGAAACTGCAAGCCGATCTTAACCTCAATGCCAAAGTTGCGGGACTCGTCCAGATCAACGCTGGTGTGCAAGTCGGTATTGAGAAGGTCAACATTACCATTGCTGATGTCGATGTTAATCTCGAACTCGTCGTGCGTTTGGGCAACTTGGTCCAGATCGTCGAGCGTGTGTTTGACTCTTTGGACCTGAACCCTCTTTTGATCGGCTTGATTGGAAATGTTACGGATCTTGTTGGCGACGTTATTGGTGCTGTTGATGGTTTGGTAAGTTTTCATTGATATTCACGTTTGGAAAAAAAATTGGCATTCAAAGAAAATGGAAACTAATGAGAGATTCTAGCTCGGATCCATCACACAAAATGGCAAAACTCTCAGCTTCCTCGTCGACAACCTGGGCAACATTGTCCAAGAAGTCGTCGGAGGTGGTGCAGATGCTATTTCCCAGATTGTCGGAAACTACAAGGTAAAAATCCACACCTCCCTTCATGTGTCTGTCAAACAACTCACATCAAAAAAAACAGCTCAACATGACCGAAGTCGAAGGCAGCATCAAACAAATCGGCAAAGGTCTCACTCAAAAGACCTACTCATACGAGCCCCTCGGTTCCCTCGTCGACATCATTACCAACACTGCAGGCCAAGTCGTGCAAGCGGTAGTGCAGAAGAAGAATTCCGGTGGAGGCGGCGGCAGCAGCAGCAGCTCCTCTTCCACTACAGCTTCGGCTACAGGAACCCCGATGCCTGTTACGCTGCCGATCAGCTCGGCGACGGGTACTGCGTAAAGAAAACGAAATTTCATTAGCGTAGTAATGATATTTGTGAATAATGTAATACACGCTTTTTTTATATCCACTGCGATTTTTGAAATGTGAATGTGGTAAATGTATGATTGGGATTAAGATGTCTTAGCATAGAAGTAGACTACTAAGATAACTTTTGTCCTATTACAACAAACGGTTAGTAAATTTAGGGGGGGGGGGAACAAAAGCAGTTTCTCCAAAAAAAAAGAAAGAAGGAAAGAAGAAAGAGAATTCCGCATAGGTCGAGAACTCGTTTGCTGCACACGCCATATAAAAAGACCATCGAGGTTTCAATTAAACTCCATATCTCTCCTACCTCACCCCTCTCACACGCTAAGGATAACTTATCCCAGCAATGAGCAGTGAAATACAAACAAGACATTACCTAAATAACAACCCCCCTTAAAAAAGCTTTTTAACCAGAATCCATCCGGTCATGCTGTACTTCTAAAAATTCCCACCATTTGCGCCGTGGAAGTCAAACCCCTCCCCACATACACCAACCATTGAACTCCGGGAAAAAAAAACCAGGCCTGCCGGCATTCAAAGCCTTGCGTATTTACGCTGGTTTCCGCCATCTCACTACTCTATGATTACAGTCCCGATGCACTATCCTTCCTCTTCATTCCCTTGCCCTTCCTCTTAAATCTCACCTTCTTCCCAATCTTCCCCCAAGTCAAGCCCTGTCCAAGCTTCTCCATCTTACTCACCAATTCAGAAATATTGTTTCTTCCCTCTACAATAACAGGGACGATGGTCGTACAAAAGCTCTTCTTCACATCCGCACCAATCATAGATACTGATCTGAATTTCAGCCTGGGAAGACCGCTGTTTTTCGATGATGAGCGATCGTGACACGCGTATTTTGGCGTGTGTAAGGAGAGCTGTGACATGTTTTCTTTTAGTGGGTCTTTTATGGTCGGAATTGAATCGTGGGAGGCCGGGGCTCGCTGTGGCACTGGCGCTGGCGGTGAATGGATTGGTGGCTGTTCCATGCTGATAAAGGGTGGTGGCGATGGAGTTTGTTCCGGAGAAGATTCGCTGGAAAAATCGTATCGTCCAAGAATATTCTCATGCGTACGTACGTCCCACGAAACAGCTCTTGTCCGATCACGCGTGCTGGCCATTTCTGACTTTCTCCGCCGCGGCACAGTGTTTCTTCTCTCCTCCGGAACCCTTCTTATGCTGAGCCTTCTTCTGAATTTGTCAAGGCTGTTCCCACGCATAACGGTGACTTTTTCTTTTTTCTCATTGCGTGTCTGCTCCTCTTCGGCACGATCCGCTTGCTCCTTGCGCGTGAGAAAGTCTTCAATCCATTCAGTCGGTCCTTCGGCTGTTTGACAAGGCTCTACCCATTCGCTTGATCTGGCCCAGTTTTGTATGCTCTTACAACTTCCTAGATTCGGAATAGACTGGAGAGAGCGATTGAGTTTGGCGTGCGCTTGGTACACGCTGGTCCTGAAAGGAATGTTGGAAATTGATTCTGGGGTTCCAGTGGGCGTATGGATTCCCAGGTTGTTCGGTTTGCACATGGCCGAGCTGTAGAATCGTGCAGCCTCTTGCAGTTTTCTGTCACAATCGCTAACAGATTGCATGTTCTGGAGCTGTGCTGACGGCCGTATATAGATGGCTCCAGGCTCTTGGTGTGATATTTCCGACACGACTGAGGACATGGAGGACCTTCGTGAGCATCTTCCTTGTGTTGGGACACTCAAGAAGCCGGTAATCGGTCCCTTCTCTTCGGCGATGTCGTCAATCTCAAAGACACTAAACGTCTCAACGCTACATTTTTTTGCTATCTGTGCAGGCGCATAGGCCGGGGGTTTGTGCTCAACGACAGTCGTGAGGTGCATGGATGGTGGTCGTGGTAAACGCTTGCTTCGAGACATGCCGAGGCCACAAGCTCGATGGGTACCATTTGTCGTACTGAGAGGCTGAAGTGGCGGTATTGTTGGGTATGTCGGGACCTGATACCTTAGCGCGTGATCAAACGACTCATGAGATGCATTGGCTCCCGACGTGTAATTGTCGGTAAAGAAATCCGCTGTACTTTGTGGCTTTCCTGGACACCTCAGCGCTTTCTCCGTCGCTGTTGGAGCAAGCATGGCGCGTCGTGCTGTCGCCTCCACGTCGCCAATCCTGTGTCACAAAACGCGTCAGCTCGGCCCAACTATGCGTTTTCCTGACATACTCTGCTTCTTGGCATCTCGACGTCTTGAAAGTGTATGGATAAATATCCTTGCTCCTGCCATGCACAAGGGCGCCGCCGTATGGGCCAGTTCCAGGCCTTACGGTCTCCATCTTAACAAGTCCCTGCTAAACGACCGTTGGAAGCTCATTCTTGTCGATCATGGTCCTAGTTGAAAAGTCGGGGAAGGGGACAATGTGCCGTTTCCAGGGTGGGAGAAGGCGATGCAAACGACGTGTGGGCGCCTGCGGTGACGAGAAACCCTTGCTTGCAGGCGCAAGGTCAACTTGCTTCGGTTTATAGGGGACAACAGAGCTGATCAAAGTCTAAAGTAGCATGCCGGCGCGTCGGGAGCTTCACTTGGTCCGTGATGACCGAGAAGCGGGGTTCGAGTTAGCTGTGGATGCAGTCCATGCGTTGTATTGCTTCTTCGCTCATCATCTAGACCTTTGCGCTCGCGACAAAAACCTGTTGCCCTATCTCTTCGCATCGCGTTCGTCTTACATTCCTGGAACCCCATAGGTCAGCTGTACATCAACGAACCTTGCCATAGGCCGCCCTGGGGAGGAAAGAAAAACTCTACAGTAGAGGCAGATCTAACTCGATCGATATACAATATGTGCAGACTAGGCCTGGCCCTAACAGTATCCGCCAGCACAGTCATCCTCTACCGCCTTTGGAAAATGACGTGTTTGCTGATGTGATAGCTGACATGCTAGTGGACTGATTGCGTTGAGAATAAGGTCTACCATGGTATGCGTGCGGGAGCCGAATATCAGCACAATGTGCCGCAGTACTTGGGCGATTAGTACGTAGAAGGGTATCTCGGAGAGGCTGGGAAACACTTGCATGGACGGTGACATGTGGCTGAAAAAAACTACGTCATCGAAATGCAAGTGCTAACTGCATGATGGCTGGAGGGGGGGGGGTGGCCAAGCCTCCAGCTCTCCCCCCACCCACCCACCCCTATTCTCTCCTCCCTTATCAAACTAGTTTTTCTTAATGCATCATCTCACAAAAACGGCAGCCAAGATGTAAAGCAAACATGTTTTCATTGAGGACTTTTCATGGGATAGGCTACTAGGCTCATTTCCCTTACATCCAGTCTCTAATCTATGTCTCTCCCAAAGAGCAGTAACACCGTGACGATGCAATTGGAGTAGTCTTGCAGCAATGTAGGAAAACAACAAAATGAACATGTACACTGAATTTTCGAGCTAATACGTCCCACACAGCCTAATCTGCACTGCAAATTGTAAGGCAGCCCCATGATCTGACAAAATCCTGTTTCGCCTCCAAATTCTTAGGCGTTTTGTTTTTCCGAGAGAGAGAGAGAGAGAGAGATTGGTCGCGTCCAGCAGATGCAGACCATGAGATGTGACTTGTCTAATGCGTTTTGGATGTTGAAAAGTCGATCGTAAAGTTACCGCCGTTGATGATTCGTGAAACCTTGCATGTCAAATGACCGCCGTGCAAAGGTTGACTCCAGGGACTCCTATGTAAATGCGAGACCTAGCAAAAACTCGGTCGTGCTGAGAGAAGGGAAAACCTGTATGCTTGTAATTCTAGTTGTTGTGAGGATGACAATGATGATAACGACAATGGTCGTGAAGAGACCGATCTTTTAAACCTGGATGATGTACCGAATTTGGTGTATTTGGAGCTAGATATCGCAGCTCGCGGGTTGGTTTCGTGTGATGATTGAACGATGCTTGGTAGTTGCATTGGGTGAAAGTTTGAATTGGGCTTGAATGAGTGCTCATACTTCGTCGAGAGGAGTGAACAGGTTCCTCATGTTGAGGGTGAGATCAGCAATTGCATAGTCGTCAGCAATTTCGGTCATGGAACCAATCTCAATGCCCTTTTGCGCAGAATCAGAGGCGACGTACGGCCTGATTTGCTTCAAGAGGTGGAAGACGTGTCTGCATCGCACATCTGCAGACGTCGCCCAGTCCTCAGGGCGTGATTGTCGAAGGAATGCCTGTGCCAAGAAGTAAAAGTGAATGCCATCTCGGCAGAACCCACGTCGGCGCTGGCGATGAGTGAATTGAATGGCTAGGTCCTTGTCCCAGCAGGTCTTCCACAGGTTCAAAGCACCAACCGTGGAGCGAAGTTGGTTCTGCACCTGCTCGTTGACTCCGTTGACTGGTGCCGCTGTGTTACCGCTTTGGGACTGAGGTGTGCTCGCACCGCTTGAAGACATTCGCTGGATAAGTTGGCGCTGGATGTCGTAGATCTGGGTATGGATAGCGTGGATGAGGACAAATTTACCAAAGACATTGGTAGCCCGTTCAGGGAACTTTCCTGGACAAGTCCCGTTGAGTACGCTCAAAGCCTCAGACAAGGCCAGTTGCTTCGCACGCCTGCTGCCAGACTCATTGAATGCTTGTGCCGCCTGGCCTCGTAGACCCAAGGCACTAGCGCAGTCTTCCGATGTCTTCGCCTCCCAAGCTGCATCGTCAGCAGGCAGAGGAACTGTGATACTCTTGGGGTCGAATCTCGGCTGAGAGTTGAAGAATATTGTAGCAGAAGCGTCGATCAAGTAAATGTATGCTGTTAATCGAGCCCGTTTCTCGTTCTCAATCCAGAGAGTCCAACTCCAAGAATCAACCTCCTCGCCAGTTACTGGTCCTGGTTGATGTAACGCGCTTGCATTCATGTTGTCAGGCGGGAGCGGTTGGAAGAGTGCAGCACATCGCGTGACATTAGCCACAGCCCTGACTTCGTCTCGCGCTTGTTGACGTTGTTGCTGCGAGCCGTGCCATAGGAACTGAGAGTGGAGTAGGACCAGGGCTTGTATCTCCTCAGTCGTGGACGTCAGCTGGTTATCAAGGTCCGCCATTTGATGTGCTTGCGCCAACTCGAAAACTTGACTGGATCGCAACACATTCTCCCGGACGCGCTCCATAAGCCAGCGGACATCCGACGGACTCATCTTGTCAGAATACACGGCACCAACACAACACATGACCAACACTAGCCCAGGCCAGGCAGTGAAGGGATCAAATGTTGGAATGTGTATCAAAGGAAAATGCGCTTGGTAGTGCCTGTATTCGTGTAGGAATTCCTTGACGTTGTCTCCGGTCAATATTGTTTGTAGTCTTTCGTGGGTGTACGCCTCTGTTGAGTGCTGATTTGAGAGTAGAGATGCATTCGGAGAGCAAAAATTCACAAGCGAAGTAGCCAGATTGTGCACTGGATCAGAGGTGGTTTGGCCAATGAACCAACCATCGAGTGTTGGAGAAGAGTCGACCAACCCGGGAACGTGCGAGTAAAATCCAAATAAACTTTCATTCGGTGTATCATCTGAGGTCTAAAAGTTCCGGTCAGAACTGGGCCTGTTTTTGAAAGGTTGGGCCACCTGCCGTACTGGAATTATTCATATCGCCGTTGAACGATCCATTTCGCCATAGCGACCCATCCTGGCCATTGGTGATGCCATCAACGTTTGGCAGGGTAGAGACTCCGTATGAAGCTGGGTCGGTGCCCTCGCTCTTAACGGTTATGCCGTTTTGCGCCATTGATCCATTTGTGGAGGCCTGCTCATAGCTGTAGTGGCCGTTGGGATCGGAGCCGTTGGTTGAAGGCTGTTGCTGCTGTTGCTGTTGCTGAGCCTGTTGCTGCTGAGCCTGTTGCTGCTGGGCCTGCTGCTGCTGTTGTTGCTGTGATGGATAACCATTGGGGACTCCATCCGGGCGATAATCATTAAAGTTCATCCGGGCATTGGCAAAGTCCATGGCTGACATGCTTCGACGGTGGGCGCCGTCCTCAACGCCGCTGCTGGGGCGCATCAAGCTGTTTGAGCGCGAAGTACGCGCTGACATGGACTGGTGGTTGGCAAGCGAAGGCAGGTTATCACCAAAGCCATTACCGGCCATGGCAGGCATCTGGGGCAGACCCATGGAGTAGCCCCCAGCATCAGCGTATGACATGGCATTAGGGCCGATGTGGTTAAGGTACGAGTTTTGGTCCGCACCAGTGGGCTGTCTGTTCTTCTGCAGGTGTTGCTGCGCATGCTGCAGATGGTTCGCGCCAGTCGGGTTTCCCCTTCGTATCGAGCATTTCTGGAAGTGACGCTTCAAAATGTCGCTTCTGCTGAACGTATCCTTGCACAGATGGCACTGGTAGGGTCGTTCACCCGTGTCTGAGCATGTAACATTAGCAGCTGGCTGTGGTTAGGTATTGAACAAAACTTACGTCGCAGCAAATGGCGCTTGAGATGTTTCAAGTGCAGATATGTCTTGTTGCAATGCGGACACTCGTACTTGCCCTCGGCGTTCTTTGTCGCGGTAGTAGGAGTCTTCCCAGCAGCTGGCGCGGGCCGTCCAGGATGCGTCGGCAAAACGCCGCGTCGGCCTTGCTGACCGACGACGTGGACTGGCTCGGGCTCCTGGTTGGGAAGCACGGGTGGATGGGCGTACATGGACGTGTGTCCCAAACCCATACCGGGTGAGGGGCCCAGCTGGTGGCCGTTGGTGTGTGCGGACGCGGTGGACAACATGGGCGCCTGCGAGTAGGCCGAGCTCATGGGCAGGTACGACGTTGGCGTAGGCTGGAGGGGTCGCAGCGGCGGGTGCTGCAGAGGTGGCATGGTAGAGGTGCCATTGGGCGCAGACGTCACAGGCGTATGCGGTGGCTGGGGCGTGTGAGGGTTGCTGTTATGGCCATACATGGGCGGTGCATACTGGCTGCCACCACTCTGTAGAGGCGGCAGTGTGGGCAGCTGGTTCTGAGAGCCATTAAACTGCTGGCCTATTGACGGGTAGTTGCCTAGGCCAGGCTGGCGGAAGCGGTCTGTACTGTCCATAATGTAGTAGTACACAACACAGCTCCTATGGGCGGGTCAAGGTTGGAGAAGTGATGGGGGGAAAAGGCGCAACCAATTGTGGTTCGTTACGGGACCATTCGACGGAGCTCAGAAGCGGAGTAACGTGTGCAACGGCTGGGTATGCACACCAAGGAGGGCCGTTGGGCTAACGTCGCAAGGTAAGGAAGGATGGCCCACGAAGAAGCTTTGTAGGGTGGAGCCTGTGTGGGGGATTGCGATGAACAGTCGATTCGCGTCCGTCGGCGGGTACCTTTTGACGGGGGAAGTGGAATTTGGAGTGGTGTCCACAGTGGGTGAATGGGACAAGAGTTGGGAGTGGAAAGGCGTGGCGACGGCGCAGAATTGAAAAAGGTGATGGGTCGGTGACGATGGACTTTCCTGCACTGCACTAGTAAAAGCGCTGCGATGGTTTGGCTGGCTGGCGCGGTAATTCACGCGAAGGGACAAGGAAGCTGCTGCAGATCGGAGGCCCACACACACACTTCAGCCTCAGCCGACTGATTGCGGATAGCCCAAGTGGAGAGGGCGAGGCACGAGGCAGGGACGGAAGACCCACGACAGGAATGAAGGCTGTTGGGGGAGGCTTGGGGGTGGGCGAGGGGGGGCGAGGGGGAAGGTAAAGGTAGCTCGGGGTACAGGTACCAGTCGGCGAAAAAAATATGCACAGAGGATGGTGCTATAGTCGAGCGTCGGCTTTCCGCACCAAGCACTTCCTGTTTGCGCACGCGTGCTGCTGAATGCCGGAGCTTGGCCGACGGATGGTCGTAGCGGGCGCAGATTTGCACAGGGCAACGATAGTGAGTAAGTAGTAGTAGTAGTGTACTGGGTAAGTAGTAGCAAGAGTCGGGTAGTGGCCGTGGCAGTTGCAGCGGAAGCAGCAGCGGAGGCGGCAGCAGCAGCAGCGGCAGCGGCAGCGTGTAGTCGTGTAATGTGTTTTGTTGTGGAGGAGCAGAGATGAATAATGGACGGGGAACAGGCAGAGCGGCCGGGACCCGCACGAGATGGGAGCAAAAAGTGATAGTGTGGATGTGGGAGTGGGTGTGGACGTGGATGCGGACCAGGTGGTGTGGCGGCAAGCGCGTCGGGATGGGATGGCCACGACGTTACAGAAACCAGGGCGTGCGGAGGGTAATGGGAGGAGGTAGGAGAGAGACAATGCACTCAGGCCCCAAAGAAGCGCCGAAAGGGCAGTAGCAGCGGCACACGTGATTGGATTTGGGATGGCTTTTCATGTACGCATACGTTATATTTTGCAGCGTATCTGCATTTGCATTGGAGCGCGTATGCGTTGCCCGTTGTCCGCTGCAAGAAAGGCCATTACCAATGACGACAGCTGTTCGTGTGCTAACGGAGCAGGCACCCAATTGCGTTGCCCATGCACGCAGGCCCTTTGCAGCCAGGCCAACGACGCGCTGGCCGCTGGCCGCTGGCTGCTGGCTGCTGGCTGTGCCCTTGAATCGTGCCCACCGACCACGTCTCCTATCGTCGTCTGCCGCCGTATCAACCCGCCGTGCTGTCCAGTCGAGTCCATGTCCATGTCCATGTCGACGGCCGCGCTGCCTAGGGGTTTCATCCACTCCGCCGCCGCTGCGCTGTAATCGATAAGAACAAGAGCCGCACAAACCTGGCCATGGGCGCACCGCACACGGCCCAGCGCCCAGGGCCGAACTGCCCCAATCTCCTACAGTACGCCTGGGTAATTTTTTTTCTTCTGCCCACGGGACGGCCAAGGGGCGACACCCATGGAAACGGTTGCGCGCGAGCATGCACATTATTACTATTACTCTACTATACCACCAGCTCAGCAACCCGTCGGCGCACGCCTTAGTTGCAGCAGCTTGTCAGAGTCAGAGCCATCGGATCGGTACTCTAGAGCAGCGAGGCGCGAGAGCAAGCAACTCATCCGAGCAGCGAGCATCCATCCGACAAAGGCCGAGCTTTGCTGTCGTATTGGCGGCTGTGGCTTTGCTAGGGTCCTTTCCCTTATATCCGACCATGAAACCGACGGCGTCCGGCGGCCACAGACAACAGACGCTCGCGGTTCGACTGCACAGGGCGCCCGCGACATACCTCGAGTTGCAGATGCTCGTCGTCCGAAACATGGGCGGATCCTGTGCTGCCAGACGGTCAGATGAGATGGAGGAGCTGATGGGCAGGTAGAACAGAACAGAACAGACCAGATGGCCGACCGGCACCACCTGGCGTGGCGGCCGTGGCTGTTGGTCGCCGCCGAGGCTGGAATGAGGAAAAGTCTGGTGAGCGTGACGTAGGTTTATCCCAGAGCGGCCTAGCGCACAAGCAGGGGGGACCCTTGGCCTGAGATTGCAGCCAACAACTGCAACGGCGTCCGCTAAATCTTCGGCTCGTCAATCGCTCGGCCTGCGCTCGCCCCTGCCATGGCAATGTGCGAGTAGAGCAACTACGCACTCGAGTGTGCGCAAGTACATGGTAGCATACATACATGCGCACGACTAAGTTTGTACACACCTACTTACTCGCTCTCCATGCCTACCGTAGACTACGGTCACGCCTCCGGCCTTGAAACACGTCTTCTCGAAGCCTGGGCACCTCGATGCGAAGCAGGTCGTCCCTCGGCGCACTGTTATCAAATCGAAACGGCGCATGCGGCACGACGGCGGCGGCCAACAATGCAAGGCGCGACGTGGTTGTGCTGGCGGTGCTATACTACGCACAACGATACCATTACACACACAGGTACAGTCATGTCACGCCTGCCACGGCCGCAACGGCGACGATTGTTCTAAGGGTCGGCCACTTAGCTTACAGATGACAACTAGTGTCGTCTGATCACGATGCCGCGGCTGACTCGAGTTGATACGGTGACAGGCAGCTATTCTCGAGGTCGGCATGTTCTTACAGCGAGCACTAGGTCGAGGTAGCATCGGGGAAGTGCCGGGATAGCCTCGACGGCTATACTTACTTGCCTGCTTGCCTGCACACGCCTGCCGCTTTTCTTGTTTCTGCACAGAGCGTACATAACCGTCTATGTATGTTCTGCACATACTTTGTCGCACGCACACGTGTTCAGTAAGTAGGCCTACTAGCCAGCGCTGCTATGCCATTTCCAGCAGACGGCTCGGCCGTGCACAAACAAGGGCCCTGCCGTGGTTCTCGCTTGCGGCCTGCCGATGCTTTACGTTACATGCTTGGCAGGATACAAAGACGCGCTTTTCTGCGGAACAAAACGCCGAGGCGCTCGCTGCAACGCCTCGACAGCATGCTGGCCGACAAATTTTCTCCGGCTGCACGGCATGCATGCCCTGCTGTCACTGCTGAGAGGGAACCGGAACGAGCAGATGCGACGAGGGTTGCTGCTTTGGACCTGCCACCGTGCATATTTTTTTCTGTCACTAGCTGCTGGCTGCTGGCTGCAGCGGCGCTCGAGGGAACCCCACGTGTTGTTCCATCATCAGCCATGCCATGGCAGCGGCACGCCCGACACGACCCTCGACCCTCGTCCCTCGTTGCGAACCCGACACGGTGCTCGCCGCTGGAAATTGCGCATCGTGCCCAGCCTAATCCCCGAAACCACTAGGCCGTCTCAGGCAGTTTGCTCTCCCAGCAAGAGTACGCGTCGTCGCCGTCAAGGTTCAAGGGGGAGGGCTGTCCACGATGCTGGGACTGCTAGGACTGCTGGGACTGCTGGGACGTGAGCAGTCAGCGCGCGAAGTTGGAATAAGCTCCAGTCCCACTTGCGGTTACGCTCCCGGATCTGGGAGTGTGGATGATACCCGGAGCTGGGTGGGTGTCAAAGTGGGCTTCTCTGCCCGCCTGTGTGTCCAGCTGCCGTCACCCTGCCTACCAGCCCGCCAAGGCCCACCGGCACACAAGCGCCATGTCGTGCAGCAGTGCAGCAGCCTCTGACCCGCTCGCCGTGAGTGTGTCGTGGCGCCTGTCCGCCGCCATCCCATGTCCGCCCCTCTCCCCCCCCTCCCCCCATGCCATGCACCTCGTGAGTTTCACTCTCCTCCTCTGGCCTGCCCGCTTTCCCCGAAGAAAAAAAATAAAAAATAAAAGGACCGGTGACGGCTGGAACGGGCCCCCCTGACGTCCACATTGCGTAGCCGCCATGCCACAACCATACCACTCGCCGCTGACGCTGCCCTCGGATGGACTCTTCCGCCCCTCCCCTCTGCCCTGCTTTGTTTCAACTCGCCTGCCGCTGTGAAATCGACGCCTCAACGCGGGTGCTTGGGTTGGGGTCCGCCTTGCAGCGGCAGTTGACACGCTTCTGCTGGGACACGGCAACCCGTGTGTCTTCGAGATATGGCGCCTGTCGCTGCCATCCGTTTCCCTGGGTCACCCCTAGTACACTGTGCCGCATCCTACATATACACACGCATTTGCAATCCTCATCCATTGTGCTGCCGGCGTGCATGCAGGACGTGTCCACCCACAGCCTTCTTTCGCTTCTGTCAAAACCCTTCTCGTTTCAAATGCACCTTGCGTATGTGATTGCGCCATACCAAGGCCTTACCTAGCAACACGGTGTTTCGAGGCCATCAACATTCTGTACACCTACGTACGTAGAGTGCCATGGCGGCTGATATCGGCCGAGATAATTGGTCCATGCTCCTTGTTCGATAACGCTGATAATATTGCAAACTCGCCTATGTCAAAGAACAAAGGAAAAAAAATAAACGTGATACCCAAGGCGGAAGATGGTTCAGACGGGCGGGATTAGTGGGCCGTTGTATACTAGATATGTTGAAAGGAAAAAAAAAGTGGGCGCCCTGGATGTGGGTTCTTGCCTATTTCGACTCTGACCCCACACACACACAACAACATGCGTAATTTGCTGATGCTGATTCTGAAGGCTCTTCTGTGTCCTTTGAGAGCCGATGCAAAGACCATACTAGAGACTCGAGAGACTTCTATTTCTGCGTCTTCATTCTCTGTGTGTGATGTTCTTGCAAAAAATAAGCACTGGGTACGCTCGTGTGATGTGGCTATAGTGCCCGGAGGTTTCTAGAAGCACCACCACAAACAAGAAGCTTCTAACGCCATTTCTACATCTCACAACCCCAACGCTCATATAATCGCTCTGTAACTATTTCATTCTGCGCTTCTCAATGCCGCCTATGCATCCATCGAAACTTCTTGCTCGAATTCTACGCGTGCAACAACGAACAATTTTCTATCCATCAAGCGTTACCCGTGTAAATACGAAAACCTCACTCACGAGTACCTTCAACTCGACTCACCACCACGTCCAATCTCAACACCACAGCCACGCAATGTCCTCATCAATACCCCACACTCCATCACCCAACCAAGCCCAACCCACCAACACCCAAGAGTCCGACCCACAAAACCCCCCTCAAGCCCAAGACCAAGCATCCACACCAGCAGCCCCCTTACCCCTCCCTTCCCCCTCCACAGCCACAAACGAGACCACCACCCAACTCAACGTCGACGGCCAAGCAGTCAAACTTGACCACTTGGGGCCCCTGGTGGTGAATAAAGATGGCACGCTATCGCGCATTGCGAATTGGGAGTCCATGGCAGAGATTGAGAGGCAGAATACGCTGAGGATTTTGGTCAAGAGGAATCAGGTTAGGTTGGGGGCGTTGGGGGCGGAGACGGGCGAGGGGAAGGAGGGGGAGGGGAAGTAAGAATTGAGATGTGAATGCGAGAGGATTACCGGGATTTTGTAAATCAGAATGTATTGCATGGAATGGGCGTGAGGGGTATGGATCAAGAAGAGGAGGATGGGTTGAAATTTCAAGAGGCATGGAGTTAGGGACTATAAGTTTGAGTTGGGGCTTTCCAAGCAATAGGTGCAGTTTAGAATTTCAAGTCATAGAGTGATGATTGGGATTTTGTGTTAGCAAAGTCCAAACTGATAAGTTGAAGTCAATGAGACCAAGTAGTAATTTTACGTCAAAAAACCAAGCTGATGTGTTTGAGAAAATAAATTGAGGTCAATGAGTTCCAGTTGTGATTTCATGTCAGCAAGTCAAGCTAACAAATTCAAGTCATAACAAGTACGTCGTGATCATTCTTCTTCTTCTTATTACACACCCCATCTATTTGCAAGTGTGCTTTTTCTTCTCTTCTCCTCAATCCAAACCCATCTATGGCTTCTGAGTGCTGGTGTGCGTGTTGCGCTCATGGTATGACCACTGGCCTTCTGGCGCTTGCTCCTCGAGAGGCTCCCATCTATATATATATCGTTAGATACAAACTCCATTCCAAAAAGATACAACCAGCAAAAAAAACTTACACCTTTGCTTGGATCATAGCATCAACAAGCTTGTGCTCGCCCTCGGCAACTTGGATAACCTCTTCAATCAGACCTGCACCCATCCTGCTCTCAAGATCCGAGATGCTATAAGAAATGTCAGCTTCCAGTCTTGGCATTCCATCTTTCCATCCATGACATACGCTTCAACAGTGTACTGAGGCTCGGGCTCAAACTTGACCTTGCTAAAGGCGCGCTCAGGCGTGTAGTTGACATCGCCCTTCATCTTCTTGGCGTGGGGCAGGCGCTCCTTGGACGAGCGAATGCCCTCGGGGAACGTCTGTACCGCTTCACCATCCCATTCTGCGACCTTGTCTCGCTCATCCACAGAAGGCTGTGCGGGAAGAACCACAGTCTGTCCGCTGGCTGTGTCGATGACTTGGAAGTTGTCCGGGTCATCGCTAATACGCAGCTTGATTCTTTCCTGCCATGCGTCCCATCCTGCGGGCTTGGACTGCTCGACGATAGAAAGGCGGTGCTTGGTCAGGGCCTCGGTAGACTGGCGGTATACGGACGACTCGGGGAGCTGCTTGAGTTTGTCGAGAGTGGCGTTGTAGTGGTAGAGCAGGGTGGAACGCGGCGCCGGGTGGGTGAGGAGTCCTGTGAGGCCGGTTGGCGCGCCGGGCTCGAGGAATTGGCCGGGCTTGACGCTGGCGAGGAGGCGGAAGGCGGCCCTCATGGTTGCGGGGAGAGGATTGGAGGTGGGGTCGTGGCGCAATTGATAGCTTGCGTGCGCGGTGCTGATGCCGTCAGGACGAAGATGTAACTTGCCAAGCAATGTGGAGCCGGGGTGGAGAGGCAGCCGTCCCATGTAAGCGTTCAGGGACAATACACTTTTGGAGACACGGTTCCCTCTTGGTGTCACCACACAACCTCACAATCGAATTCCAGGGGCCACGAGGATAAATACGTACGCTTGTTGCAGCGTCTACAGCGCCCGTGAACGGCCAAACTGAGGAGCCGTTCCTCTTTTGCGCATCCCGCACGCCGCCACCAGCGCCACCATGCGCTCCATACTCTATGCCCTATTGTCGCTGGCGACGGTAGCCTCCACTCTCGCTGCAGAAGCACCAAACACCAATGATGCCGGCAAGGATGACGGCTGGGACGAAAAGGGCGCAGACACTACCTTCAATGGCGAGAAGGTGCCGCCCATGATCGAGTTGACACCAACCACGATGGGGCCGGAGACCAAGAAGGGCAACTGGTAAGCCGAGACAGACGCTTCACGCAGTCATTAATTCCACTGACACTACACAGGATAGTCGAGTTCTTCTCGCCCTATTGCGGCCATTGCATGCACTTCAAGCCCATTTACCAGACCGCGTACGAGTTCTACTACACCTCGAAACCCTTTCTATCCTCTGACGATGCCGACGGCGATTCTCTAAACACTTTTACACGATACTACGACTTCAAGTTTGCCAAGGTTGATTGCGTCGCCTACGCTGATCTCTGCAAGGACCGCAAAATTGAAAGCTACCCGACTTTGATGTTCATCCAGGATGGCGAAGAAAAGCAGAAGCTTCGAGGTTCCAAGGAATTGAAGGACTTTAGCGATTGGGTAGAAGAACTTTTGGAATCCATCAGGCCTGGCACCCGAAAGGAGGGCGGTCCTAAGCTACCAAAGGTTGGCGCTACCTCTGTAGAGACTGGCCCCGATCCCAAGGAGGCTGACGGTGGAGACAAGAAAGAGAAGGAGAAGGAGAAGGAAAAGGTCGACGACAAGAAACCCGGAGCGGCCAAAGCGAGTCCCAGCACAAGCGCAGCGCTCAAAGCAACTCCCATAAAGGAGACCAAGCCATCTCCCACACCAGCCAAACCTGCCTCAACTGCAAACCCCTCTGGTACCGTCACAATTCTTACCGCAGACAACTTTGACAAGCATGTCGTCAGCACACTGGAACCCTGGTTTATCAAATTTTATGCACCATGGTGTCACCACTGCCAGGCTCTCGCGCCAACCTGGGCGAATCTTGCGCGTCAGATGAAGGGAAAGCTCAACATTGGAGAAGTCAACTGTGACGCTGAGAAGAAACTATGCAAGGAGGCACATGTTAAAGGCTACCCAACTATGCTCTTCTTCCGCGGCGGTGAGCGTGTCGAATATCATGGCCTGCGTGGGTTGGGTGATTTGCTTGACTATGCTGAAAAGGCGGCAGCCATTGGTGCTGGTGTGCCAGACGTTACTGCTGAAGAGTTCAAGAAGATGGAAGAAAAGGAGGAGGTCATTTTTGTTTACTTTTATGATCACGCGACCACTTCCGAGGACTTCAAGGCGCTGGAGAGGCTCCCTCTTAGCTTGGTTGGTCATGCTAAGCTTGTTAAGACAAGTGACAAGGCCATGTTTGATCGGTTCAAGATCTCTACCTGGCCGCGGTTGATGGTTGCAAGAGATGGAAACCCCACGTACTACCCGCCACGGACGCCATTTGAGATGCGCGATGTCAAGAAGGTCCTTAGTTGGATGAAGACGGTCTGGCTGCCAATTGTTCCTGAGATGACTGCTCTCAACGCCCGCGATATCATGGATGGCAAGATTGTCGTGTTGGGAATACTCAACCGAGACCGTTCTGATGAGTTTATTCTTGCCAAGCGTGAGCTGAAGAGCGCCGCGTTGGAGTGGATCGACAAGCAGGAAACTGCCTTTCAACTGTCCCGACAGGAGCTCCGTGATGCCAAGCAGCTCCGTATTGAAGAGGCAGAGGACAAGAATGATGAGCGTGCTCTCCAAAATGCAAAGAACATCCGTATTAACATGGATAAGATTGATCGTGTTCAGGTTGGCTTCGCGTGGGTCGATGGTATTTTCTGGGAGCGCTGGATCAAGACTACGTACGGTGTTGACGTCAAAGACGGCGAGAGTGTCATCATCAACGATGAGGATGTAAGTCACCTTTTCAAGAATCTTTAAACAGCACTCACTAACTGAACATAGAATCGCCGCTACTGGGACAGCACCATCTCCGGCGAGCCAATCCGTCTTTCCCGTGCCGCTATCTTGGAAACGATCAAAATGGTCACCGCCAACCCTCCCAAGATTACTCCCAAGTCTTCTACCGGCCGTTTCATGAGCACTTATATATCGGTTCGCCACTTCATCGGCAATCATCCATTCATCTCATTGGGTATGTTTGTTGGTTTCTTCACGGCAGTTATGCTGTTTGGCAAGTCGAGGCGACGAAGGCAATTCGGAACTACTGGATCGTACTTTCAATTGGGCGAAAAGGACGGTCTATTGGGCGGTCTCGGTAATGGCAATTTTGGGGGCGCAAAGCATGATTAAGTTCCGCGGCAATGGCGTGCTTAAGGGGCTTGTTTGGCGTTCTTGGCGATACGGTATGTGTATTATACCTTTGGTTTGCATGGGGTTTTCAAGCTGTGGATGTATGTATGCGCTGCGTGGTGTTGATATGAGCACCTGAATTCGATGATGTGTCGTTGACTTTCAATTGCAATATCCGTGCGTCTTCAGTTCTGGTTATTGCTATATCTTGGTCTACCAACGTGCTACTCGCAGGGCTGGAATACATACATAGATATGTCGCCATATCCCGTGTCAATTGCGTCTTCCCCTCTACGTGTAACCGAACGCTTCTCACGCGTCCACGCGTTCCCGTCCTCGTTGCCCCGCCCACGCCAACCTTTTACGTCACTGGCTGTAAACACCTTGGAAAGCCACACCTACTCTCTTTTTACTCCCCACGCTGTCCTTATCGCACCTACATGATATAATCCTGCCCCTCACGTCTCTCCCACCCAACCTGGCTCTACGACGCTTCCGCCTCAAACTACCACACACTCGTAACCCCGCGCGCAGCCCCGCAGCAACAATGTCCTCCATCACCCTCTCAGACCTCGAATTCATAGACCGCGAAACCCTCGCATCCACTTTTACTACTCCTTCCACCACCGAAGCCACAGACGCACAACCCAAACGGAGTCTCCCCGCCTCCACAGCCATCATCGACGTGCGCGATAGCGACCACATCGGCGGCCACATCCGAGGCTCCACTTGGGTTCCCTCGAGCGATCTCGACTTCAAACTCCCCGAGCTACTGCGTACGCTGCAGGACAAGGAGACTGTGGTTTTCCATTGTGCGTTGAGTCAGCAGCGGGGACCTAGTGCTGCGTTGAGGTATTTGAGGGAGAAGGAGCGGGTGCAAGGGAGTGGGGGTGTGGAGTCGAAGGGGGAGGTCAAGGAGGAAGGGGAAGGAGTGGAGAAGGCAGAGGGAAATGGGAAGGAAGAGGGAGGGAAGAAGCAGAAAGTAGTGGTGCTTAAAGGTGGATTTACAGAGTGGCAGGAGAAATATGGGACGGATGAGGAGTTGACGGAGGGGTATAAAAAGGATGTTTGGGAGTTTGGGTCGTAAATATCACCATGTACGTATATGAATCAATCCATATATACCATGCAAATCAATTTAAACACCCCTTTCCCCCCTTCTCAAAAAAAAGAAAGAAAGAAAGACAACTGCTTAAACATTTTTTAATGATAATACCTAGAGAATTAGCAGCTCTGTCCCCCTCCTTGCTCCTTAATCAAGCCCTCAAAATTCTTCCTCTCATGCTCCATAATCGCCTCCACCTTCTTCGCACTCGCACTCGCCTTATCAAACCTATACCCCAACCACTCCTTCACCAGCCTCCTCGCCAGCTCAATCCCCACCACCCTCTCCCCCATACACAGCACCTGCGCATCATTACTCAGAATCGCGCGTTCGACCGAAAAGCTATCGTGAGCAGTCACAGCCCGGATGCCGGGGACTTTGTTTGCGGAAATGGCGACGCCGAGTCCCGTACCGCAGATTAAGAGGGCGCGGTCGGCTTGGCCGGAGGCAACGAGTTGGGCGGCCGAGACGGCGACGTGCGGGTAGGCGGTTTTGTCGGAGGAGGAAGGGACGCCGACGTCTGTGACACTGGCGACGCGAGAGTCGGATTCGAGGTCTTTGATTAGAGTGGTTTTGTAGCCGACGCCTGCGTCGTCGCAGCCTACGACTATGCGGAGGGGGGTTTGGTCTGCCATTTTTTCTCTCTCTCTCTCTCTCTCTTTCTTTTTTTCTCTTTAAACGTTGGATACGGGTGGATTGTGTTTTTTAGAGGTCGGAAGTGTCGTATTTCTTTTCCAGGGAACGGCGCTTGGATTTACTGACGATGTTTAGGTTGCTGGTTTCGTGGTCGGAAGATGAGTCGTCTTCGTCGTTGTTGCGTGTGACTCGGCCTTTTGATCGCGATGTACCGGAGCTGGTGGTCGAGTATGTTATTTCGCCTTCTTTTGATACGACTTTTTTCCCGTCGAGGACGTTTTCGACGGCTCGATTTACGGTTTTTTCAAAGGGCTTCGTTACGAAGCTTAGATCGGTGTGGCCGTGTGTAGGTCCTTTGGTCTCAAGGACTTTGATGCGCTCGTCACTGGGTTTACTGTGGTCTTCGACTCTTTGGTAGACGTGATCGGCGTCTGTGTCGAGATTGAGGGAGAAAAGCGCGCGTTTGGGTGGTGCCATTTTTCTTCTTCTTCACGGGCGGCTCGGGATGCGGGTTTTTATATAAGATGCGGGCTAGATGCAATGATGGGGTCTTGTCTTCTCTCCGGTTGAATGAGGGGTTAAACACACGCCACGGGGGCACCGTGGGTGATGCAACAGCCCAGCATGCGTGGAGGTGGGGGCGGAAATTCCGATTTGGGTATTCCGGCGGGGCGTTTCGCCGCGAGAAACGTCTGGTTTCTCGGCTGAGTGCCACCGAGAGCTGGGGTTAGATCTGGAGTTATCCCGAGGGTATTATGGTAGATGCTTGGTAGTAGTATCAAGAGCTCCACTGTTCTATCAGAGAGCATATGTGACAATTATCTCAAGATTATTCACTGAGATCCAAGGCCATGTTCATAGCGAGTTCAAGATTGAATTCATTTTTTACATACCCTTGTTCCTCTATCTCCTTACTTCTCCTTGCCAAACAAGTCCTTCTCAACCATCTGTCTACAAATTGGATGGTAAAAGTCCTTGTTCTCCTCGAACGTCTTGACCGCTAGATCGCGATTGGCCTCATTCAGCAGCCTGAACATGGGCCTCACAAACTTCATGCGACCAATTTGACCCAACAGCTCAGCAGATGGCTGATACGATTCCTCTGCCTTGGCCATGAGACCAATGCTCAAATATCGTGATGACACTTCGATGTTCTGAGTTGTCTTGTAGCCATAAGTTGCACCGAGCAAGTGGACGTTCTCGGCGGAGAATTTGCTTGCGAAGGACTGGAGACGCTCGAGGAACACGACGGATTGGTTGGATACCCAACCTTCGATATCTGACGCCTGGGGCTTAAAGTCGCTCGAAGATGAGACCAGTGCCTCCCACTTGTCCGCCAATTCGTAGCAGCTCTTAACCATAGTCTGATCAAAGTCTGGCTTGACCGGGTAGCCAGGCGCGTAGAACAGCTTGTCCCAGTCAAAGCTATCCAACTTTGCCTTGGACTCAGCATCCTTCTCGAAGAAGTTTATCAGGCAGCTCTTGAAGTCATAGCTGTCTACGCTCTTGAACTTGAATGTGTCAAAGTAGTGAGGGATAAACGAATCCCACTTGTCCTTTCCGAGCAGCAGCTCAAACTGGTACAGGGCATGGAACCCCTTTTCGTATGGAATAGAGGAGAATGCATCATCTGGATCCTGGCCCTTGAGGTCCAAGACCAGTTTGGTGTAGGGATGATCTTTGCCATAATTCTCAATGCTTTGCTCAAGCGCTTTCCAGCCAATGATAGCAGAGAAATGGCGGTGTGCTTCTCCGTGAAGGGCAGCAGCGATTCTGCGTTCCAAGTACGTAGTCCAACCTTCGTTCAACCAAAAGTGCTCCCAGCTGGCTGCGCTAACGAGATTGCCGGACCAAGAATGCGACAGCTCATGGGCAATGACATCAACATTCTGTTTGTCTCCCGAGATGATGGAAGGTGTGGCGTAGGTCCAGACGGGGTTTTCCATACCTCCATATGGGAAGGACGGGGGCAAAATGAGTACGTTGTATTGTCCCCACTGATAAGCAGGCGAAACAATGGACTCGAGAGCCTTCATGAAAGGCTCAATTTCTCCGTCAAGCTCATCCTTGCACTTGAGAAGCTCCTCAGGCCCAGTCCAGACAGTGCTACGCGGGCCGATGCTGGCGGATGCCAAATCACCACTTGCAACAGCAAAAAGATAGACAGTCATTGGAACCTTCTGCTCAAATGTATACTTCATAGTGCCACTCTCGCCATCCTTCTTGGGTGGCTGATAGTCGGTCGCGCCCGTTGGCAGACCCGAAGCAAGGACTGGCAGTGGTGAACGAAGTGCAAAGCTAAAGGTCGATTTGACGTCCGGAGTATCCTGGCAAGGAAACACTGATCGTGCGTGAATTGCCTGGCATTGCGAGAACATGTACGGGTGCTTCTTGTTTGATGTTTGAGCGGGCGTCATCCACTGCAGTGCCGTGCATTTGTCGGTAGTGGCAACCTTGATCTCAATATCAACCGTCTTGCCCTTTGGCACCTTAGACGGGAGAGTGATGGAGAGTGGGCTACCATATGGCTCTACACGGTCGCCAACGTTGAATTTGACGCTCTTGCCTTCAACCTCTACGACGGAGATATCCAGGTAGCTTGTTTTGTTAGTAATGCGTTCGACTAAATTGCTTTTTTCCAATGCTCAGACATACCTCGCATCTAGTACAACCTCTTTCACATCCTCATCCGTCAAACACTCCAACGTAAGCACTACACTACCGAACAGCCTCTTGCGCTCAAAATCAATGTCAAAATCCACGCTCGTATGTCTGGTCACAAAATTGTGATAATTGGACAAGGTGTTTGGGTCCCGTGGTGTGCGAATTTCACCACGCGGGTCCGAGCTGGATTCTGTTGCCATGACTGCGGCGACGAGGTGCTGTGTCGTTGCGAAGCGTGCTCTTTGGGTTTGCGATATCTGACGTGTGCTGGAAGTGGGATGAGGCTGTTGTCTTGCGGGGGCTGGACACAACAGCAGTGGCAGAGGCGATGTGCGAGTGAGGGCGGGACGACCAGCTGATAGAGTTCGGTATCGAGCAAGTCGGGGTGGAGTAACTTCATATGCCGATCGATGCCGCAGGGCAACAAGCGACCTGCCTAATGCACTTTTGACCAACATCTAGGATACCCACGTTTGCAGACTGATATTAGTGCTAGACGCGAGAGGCCGAGCACCAAAATGTGCACGTGCGGGTGTGTTTAGCGCATCTTGATCTTGTCCCGCTATGGATTCGGTGGAGGTGCACGGTGTTCGGCAATCCGACCAAAACCGTCATTATATTGAATTATACGCGGATGTACTTTTTACGCCTGTGCTTTTACAGCCAATCCAACTTGACTTGGAGGTAACGATAAGTACAGGAATGACAAGAGGGCTGTACAGAAATAATGCATTGCAAATACGCAGGACCACACCCAAATCCGCACTAAGCTATAAAACCATGCATGCAGCTATAAACTCCAACCCCAACTCCGAAGCTGCTTGATTGCCGCTTAGTCTTTCTTGTTTCCTTCGTTCTTTCGTGTCCTTTCTCTGAGCACGAGATTGATATCTGGTCTGGCAGATTGATACTGCTTCGCAGACCTTGACGCTGAGCGCTCGTTGGTCGAAGCGAGTGTCTCTTCAGCTCGTGACCTGCCTCTGTTGCGTTCTTCTTCTCCAATTTCGAAAGCATCGTCTTGCAATTCTATGAGGTCGCCCAGATCACCGCCGACAGCTCCAATTACGGGTACGGCAGACCGTTTGCCCTGTCCGGGGGTGCCTGGTTCGTTCAGAAGCTTTTGCGCTTGTGTACCGACCTTCCTCACCCAACCCTCTATTGCGCCACCTAACTCTTGGAAGTCAAGACCAGGACCGCCAAGTGGTGTGACAGCTCCGGAACCACCGTATTGACTCGGTGTTCCTGCACCCGCATCTAGCAAGCTCGGAGCCCATGGTGTAAAGTATTCTTGGCCGGGTGGTGGCGCCACATTCGGTAGGTACTGAGCAAACTTCTTGTTCAGGCCATCTTGCGCAGGTCCTGGGCTTCGTACGTTTCTACCCAGTGTACCTACACCACCGGGGCCTTGGAGAGCCCAGGCTTTGCCTGACGTACTTCTTTGTCGACTGTGCGCTGAGGCCGAGGAAAGATTACTTGATGCACGCGGTCTCACAGGTTGAGAAGGAGAGCTCGTAATGGGATTCGTCGACGTGGACGAGCGAGGTACATCGACAGATGGTCGAGGCGTAGACGCGTCTGAGTAAGCAAGAGACTTTCGCCGGGCTGGCGGAAAGAAACCTAACGCTCTACGTGGCATCCGGGCAATCTCTGTTGGTTGTCTATCGTTAGGTAGTAGTACCCAAGAGTCGTGCTTCCATGGCGGTTCTGGATCAGAAGAAGAGGTAGTAGTAGAAGAGTCCTGGTTCTTTTGTTTTGGTGAACTCCAACCATTGGGGAGGCCCTCTGTGTTCGCAGCCGAATTCTTGCTACTTGAGCTATCGGCATATTCCCCTAGCAGAAGATCTTCTACAGGAAGCGCATCTGGCCCTTGCACTGGTCGTCCCTTGACGCCACAAGCATCTACTGGAAGCATGACTTGCTTCTTGATCTGTATGCTGTCGTTTGGCCACATGCGATTCGCTTTGCGCAGTACCGCCTGCTCACAATTGTACTTAATGCTTAGCCCTGCCAGGGTGTCCTGTGGTCGGATATGGTGGATGTATACAAGCGCGTCTTGATCGTCGTTCTCAGCGGCAGCCGCGGAAGTACTTAGGTCCTCGTCTGAGTTTCTGCGCTTTATGCGGCCCACAGAGTCTGGTACTAAATGCTCGTTGGCAGTCAAGAGGTCCTTGCGCTTCAATGCCCTGACCATAGCCTCCCTCTCCTCATGTGTCCCGGCTCCCACATGCGAATCGGCGCCTGCAGGGCCCCAGTGCTTCGGCGGAGGTGCGCTCGTCGATGTGCGGCGTCCGTGACCGGATTTCCTCTTGCGGGTACCATCCGAGGGGTCGCTAGCCATGACGGTGGCTGCGATACCCTGAATAGCCGACCATGAGTTTCCTAGGAGCCCCGATAATGCTAGTGAGGGCGATTTCAGAGGTTGCGCTCCCGGGGAGCGCTGAAAGGAGGATAAAGGAGTGGAAGTTACGTTGAGACGAGAAGATGAGGCGGTTCCCGTTCGTGAAAGCGAACCGGGAGAGGCATTCCGCGAGGGTAGTCTCGAGGTACCCCTACTCGGGCCACTGTCGCTCCCGTCGGTCGCGTAAATGTCATCTTCGACCGAGATCAGCCTCTTGGTTCTTGGCCGCAGGGTCGAGCCGCTCTGGGAGGTGGATAGTGAAGAGCCATTGGAGGGGTTCATGGCATGCGGACGCCAGGCGGAGTGGGTAAGGGTGGTGCTGCATAGGCCAAATGATTGGAGTGGTCGGGAAGCCGCATGACATGAGGATTATGGGAACATTGCGCGGATGTCGAGAGCAAGAGCTGGGGGTGTTGTGAGTATGTGTGTGGGCGGAGGCCGGGGTGTCGTGAGTCTCGAATAGCTGGGGAAAGGAAGCGCTACGTAACGTAACCGGACTTGGACCCCTTCAATCAAGCACGGCCCTGCGCTGTGCCGCCCAACCGCCAGAGTTTGTGATGCCAAGTCACTAAGAAAAGACCTGCAATGCGCCCAAATGAAGTTGATACGTAAGTAATTGTGGCTTGCTGGGCCCCTCGTACCTCTAGGTCACTGTGGATTGCCGCGTGACGATAAGGACAGATAACGATCGGCTTGGTACCATGCCATATTCGGGCCATTTGAGTAGCGAACCTTCACTGTGCATTTGCCTCAAGGTAAAGAATCGAGAATTGACATGTTAAATCACTCATAGCTAGTGCTTATATATACTCGTCTCTATAGCAAAGTTATTGCCATCTGATGGCTTTGGATCACCTGACCACTTGAAAAGCAAACGCCATACACTACTAATACACCCTGCGCCGAACATACAAAGGCAATTCATCAATCGTCATACTGCAAAGAACACTGAAATAAGCAGACCGCTGCTTAGAGGACGTGTAAGTGTGCTGGTCATCGGAAAGGACTGGAACTGGTCGTTGGATCCACGTCTTCAAACTCCAGCTCAAAGGCATCAACCTCCTCAAACTTTTTTCTTATAGCAGCCAGCTTCTCGGAATGCTCAATCGCAGACACCTCAGTTGTCTCTGCTTCATTCTGGGCTCCAGTCTCATTCTCCTTGTCTGAAGAGATCCTGCGACTGTAAGTCCTACTGGAATTTTGTGCAGCTTTTGATGCTTTTGCTGGCCCAGCCTTCTTCCCCCGCGCCGTCTTCTTTGCTGCCTTTGGTGATGCCAGCTTTCCAGCGCCTTGCCGCTGGCGGATCCTTCGTTCGGGCATCTGCAACTCATCTTGGTCTGAGTCGGCTTGTGCAGCATCTTCGGAGGACTCGATATCAAACTCGTCACGATCACGTAAACGGTTGCGCCGACGAGGTAGCAGATCTTTCAGCTGTGCGGTCGAAATACTTTGATCTGCCTTCTTTTTGGACGCCCGCCTGGCTTTTGCAGGCGTTTCTGTCGCTTCGCCTTCGGACTCATCATCTATCACAGGTGTTTTGACTCGCTGTCCTCTACGGCGTGGTCGGGCATGTGTCGGTGATGGCGGGGGCTTTGACATTTCTCGTAATGGACTGCTTGACATGGGAGATGCCAACGTGTCACTCATAGGCTCCTGGTTCTCCTGGGTTTGCTCAACGACTTGTCTACGTGGTGTTGCGATTTCTGGTAAGCTGGGGGATTGAGATCTTTCCGGCTCTGTGTCACTTGCAGACTGTGGACTGGCCGGGGGCGACGATTGTGGTACTTGAACAACTGGCGACAATTTCCGCTTTCTGCCACGGGAACCAGAGCTAGAGACGTGGGTGCCACTATCATTCCTTGTCTCTTGTTGAGGCACATGCCTTCGCACATTGAGGGGCGTTGATTCGGCATGCGGGAGAAAATCATCAAAGTCGAGATTGTCAGTATTGTCCAGAGTATCATCGTCATTATCCTCGACGTCTGTCGTCTGCTGTACCATGCGCAGTAAACTTGGCTGTCGGGCTCTCCGCTTGAAGTTGGTCAAAGCTAGTATTGATCTTTCGTGTGCAGGTGTCGCGCCGACCTTGACAGCGGATGGTGGGCGTGTGCCGTGGGCTGGAGAGTTTGAGCCGAGTGATGAGAAAGTCAGATCGCCAAAGCCGCTGTCCTCTTCTGCATGTGGGCTTTCAGTCTGGATGTCATGTTGCGCAGGTGCAGTGACAGCAGGCGATGATTTCCCCGTAGACTTTCTAGCGCTACTCCTGCTTGTTCGCGCTCGCTTGGAAGTGCTGGACCCGGGCGTACGATTCTTGCTTGATGCTTCTAGGACTTGTTCTTCTTCCGCTGGCAACGCGCTAGTCATTGTGAACTCAGCTTCGTCATGAACCTCTGGTGTCTCCTCCCCCGGCATTTTCCTTCGTGATCGCGTTGATCTGGTCCTTGTAACAAGGCCATCGCTATCCTCGCTGAGGTTGTTGACTGGTTCGCTAATTTTCTTGGTTGGTGCTGGGATGGATTCCGCTTGCTGCTTGACCGCGGGGGCGGCCTTTGGCTTGCTCGGCTTCGCGACACGCGACGCGACTTTTGCTCTGGGCGGACGAGGCATTGTCGCAAGCGATCAGTATGACTTTTTGGTGGCAATGATTATCAGGCGCAGTCGAGAAAGGGTGTGGGAGGTCAGGTCAGAATGGGCGGCGACCGTGCGATAGCGATGGTGACGAGGGCGCGTCGAGGTCGTGACGCACTGAATTCACCATCTAGCGCGGAGCTAGACGCGCGAATGGTTGGGTCACGTGTACGC